TACATGTGTACTGGTGTGTGGTGAGTGGTGTGAATGGGAGCTACGATAAAGTGTGTTACGACAAACACTGTGTGCCCCTACATCTTAGCCAATACCTGTGCAAATATCCGTGCCACCAGCAGAGAGCACCGAATTCCATAAGTCGGACACCATACAGGCGAAAAGTGCACCGCAGTTTACACATACGACCAGATGCACACACACACACAAACACACACGTGGCCGCACACACACACACACACACGCGCGCGGCCACACACACACACACACACGCGGCCACACACACACACACACACACACGCACGCACACGCCACCACCACCACACACATGCTGGCTAGGAAGTGTAATGAGTTCATGTTGAACGGCATGAAGCAAGGTACGACTCAGTTAGAAATCACCACCATAGCCGTGTATATGCCGGTGCGTGTACTTTGACGCAGTGCAATGATCATCATGCCACTTCAATACATATACTATACTGCACAAATGCGCGCGCGCGCGCGCACACACACACACACACACACACACCATGTACCACACACACTCACACATATGCAAACACAGACACACAGGCAGATACAGACACACACGCAGACACAGACACACAGACACACACATATGCAAACACAGACACACGCAGATACAGACACACACACAAGCACACACACACCACACACACACACACGCGCGCGCGCGGTGTGCGTCAGCATACTGGGAAGCACGACCTAGTGCACTGTCAATAGTGTCTACTATAATTACCCAACTAAACACACTTATAATATCTGTTCGAAGCTTCATCGAGAGCTCCAGAAACAATTAAAAAAAAGCCAATTTCTTCAGCATCAGGACTTACCATAGCAGGCGAAGAACCAACAAAACTGCACCATAGACCCTACCCAGGGCTTTCCACCAGCTACGTTACGCCATTCGAAAAGAGAATGGGACGGCTGCCCTTATTGCACCGCTTTACACACCAATTTATGGTCCTGCTTGAAGATTTCTGTATGTGTGTGACCATAAATTTTATGACAGCACACTGAACAGTCCAGTCTGTTGCCAGTGTTGGAAATGGGAAATGAACTACGGCGGCGTCGACGGTACGAGATCTGTACGGGATACGATCTGGTCGAGCGAGCGGTCGTAGTCTACAGCGCGCCGCCGCGACAAACGCGGGCGAACAGGTAGTAAAAATACCGGTATTTTCCTACTTCCTGGTGCAAACACGCACGAAAACCGAGCTGCAGGCTAGCCGGCTGCAGCGCATGCAGCGCTGAAGCCGAAAGGAGTTGTAAAACCGTAGAGTTTACGTAGAGTTTACAGTTTTACAGTTTACCGTAGAGTTGTAGTGCAAAACGATTTGAAACCTTTATTGCGCATGCGTTTTCCTGACATGACGTGCCGTGCAGTAATGCTGCATGGTATGTGTCATGGTTTTTTTTGAAGATTCTTGAATAATGTCATGACGTCGTCCATGATCCAGGAAGCTTGTGCATGCATGCTCGTCGCATTGCTCGATCATCGCATGTACTGACGTATCTGCATGACTGCATGCTAGATGTACGGTATGGCTCATGCACGTTGAAATCACGTTGAAATCATTGGAAAAAGCTTGAAAAGACACAGTTGATGGCTGCAATATGTTGTTAGCTTTGTTCCGCATCCTTGACTGAAATTTTCCTTCGAAAGGCATCCCTGGCCTCTTAGCAGCTTTCAAAAGCGTTCTGACTGCTTAGAGTTCAATTTAGCTAGACTTCTGGAGAAGCTCAGCTCGCTGGTTCGCAATGAAGTGGCAGTATAAGGAGGACCATCCGTTCGAGAAACGGAGGTCCGAGGGAGAGAAAATTCGCAAGAAGTACCCGGATCGTGTGCCGGTAGGTCGTTGGCGAACGTGTCCAGCACAGAGTCTGATGGCCTGGTTCATCAGTAGTGGTGTTCTGCATGCATTGTGGACTGTAGGTTATCGTAGAAAAGGCACCCAAGGCCCGAATCGGCGACTTGGACAAAAAGAAGTACTTGGTACCAGCTGACTTGACGGGTGAGTGCTTTCTCCAGTTGGGTTTATTGGTTTCCTGCATGGCTTTTGTACACCTGCAGTGTTTTTGAAGCACTGAGCATGTACACGTGTCTTTAGAAAGAAATTGGCGTTAACGTGCAACGTAGCTTTCATGTGGTAAGAAAACTACTCCTCTGGTTGCTCATGTGTGTGTGTGTGTGTGTGTGTGTGTGTGTGTGTGTGTGTGTGTGTGTGTGTGTGTGTATGTGTGTGTGTGTGTGTGTATGGTGTGTGTGTATGTGTGGTGTATTTGTGTGTGTGCTTGTGTGTGTGTGTGTGTATTTGTGTGTGCTTGTGTGTGTGTGTGTATTTGTGTGTGCTTGTGTGTGTATGTGTGTGTGTGCGTGCGTGTGCGCATGTATGTGTGTGCGTGTGCACGCGTGTGTACTATGTGTGTGTGCGCACGCGCGTTTGACTGTGCGACTGCTTCCATTCCAGTCGGGCAATTCTACTTTCTTATCCGCAAGCGCATTCACCTGCGCGCCGAAGATGCACTGTTCTTTTTCGTCAAGAACGTGATCCCACCCACCAGCGCAACCATGGGTGCTTTGTACCAGGAGCATCATGAGGAGGATTTCTTTCTCTACATAGCATACAGTGATGAGAGTGTTTATGGCAGTCAGGTGTAGACTAACCGCAGCTGTGCAGGCTAAATGGCTATGTGTGCCACTGTTTACGCCGAATTTCCACGCAAGATGCGCTGATGGCACATATGGCCAAGTGAGGTTGCGTTCGCCCAGTATGTGTGCGTCCGAAATCAGTTTTTGAACTACATATAGCTCATCAAGATATGCTTTGCACTTGTTTATCACCTAGAGGAAAACAGGAGCGTAGGATGTAGTGCCTTTCCCCAATAGATTGTGAACACACACACACACACACACACACACACACACACACACACACACACACACATACATACATACATACATACATACCTCCTGTCCCGTTGTTCCGCTGCCTTGTCTGATCACGTGGCCTCTTGGTGGGAGTGACGTGAGCACTTGCAGTGAGGTCTCTTCCATAGCAGCAGCAGTAGCAACGCACACGCACACACACACACACATTGCTGTCAGCATTCAAATGCCTATTTTTTTCTTCATTGGCCTGCATGAAGAGAGTGCAATAAGTTTATCACGTTTTGCCCTATCATTTTTACTAAAGTTTCCCAGAAGTCTACCTGATGACCTTTCAACTTTCTCTCACATGCATAAACCACTATTTTCTTGCTTTAAAGTCCGTAATTGGCGTCATCCAAGTTTTACTCCTCGCATTTATTATGTACTACATTTTGCTTGATACTCGTTAGCTGGAGCGGTTTTGCTATTGTCAATGTTATTCACTATCAAACGTCTTGTCTTGTATGTTTAGCCTTGTAGTCACTCCTCAGTTTTTTGTTATTCGTTGTGATCGAGTTCTTGCAATAACAACCGCTGGGGAGATATCCATACCTATCATTTCAGCTGGTTTGCCGGTACGATAGCAATACCGTGTTCTCCCGTGGATATGTTTGTGTTGGTTGGTGTGTGTGTGTGTGTTGTGGGTGACGTGTGTGTGACGTGTGTGGGTGGGTGTGTATGTGTGGGTGTGGGTGTGGGTGTCATACATGGTGTGAGTAACGTGTGTTTGCGCAGTTGCAGATTCTGCGTGTTTCTCTTGCGACGGACGTACAGAGTACACGGATGGTGTGTTTGTGTGTTATCTGTGCGTGTTTGTCGCTAAGTCGAAGACCTTGAAACGTGTCCTGTGTTTTGTAGATACGTAAGTTAATGCTGTGCGCATGCGGCGTTGGCATGTACACTTGTAATTGGGAAGCCACTCTGTCTCTGACATGTCGACAGTGACACCTAGAATAATTGTTTTAGATCACACCCATCACTTGTATCAGGTCACTCAATCTGTATGGAGAGGTCACCTGAAAAGTGAAATTTACAGAGATCATACACTACAAATGTGTGTACAGTATTACAAATGTAACTTACTTGCAAGCAGGGAGTCGTAAAAACCTTTTACGACTCCCTGCTTGCAACCAGGGAGTATAGTATACAATGCCGGTACAACTCCCTGCTTGCAACCAAACATGTACATACACCGGCGTTGCCACATTTCTGCACTCCGATCCCGACTCCCGAATCCCTACTTGCATCATGAAGTCATGAACAGGTGAAATTACGTCATTCGTTTAGATGCATGCGCATGAAGACTTGAGTTTTTTCTATTTTTTATAATCGATTTAAAAAGTGGATCGAGAAAACAGCATTCTGAAATTTCTCTGTTCTGATGCATCCTGTGCCTTCAGACAGTTCAGTATAATTATTCCTTTGTTGAGGCTTGACTGGATATACGTGTATCCTAACCTTGCTCAAACTCATGTCGAGGAAGATGGTTTCGCAAAGCTGATGCTTTCGCCAGAGTAATCGTAATTAATTATTATTTGCTTCATGTTTGTAGTTTCCTTGCAACTGGGTTGGTGTGCATCAGTTACTCTGACAACATGTCGATGCGTCTACAATCAGGCAGAGTGCTCAAGCTGGATGAGGTGGTACAGCAGGGGTCCGCTCTGGACGGAAAAGCTGTTCGAACCATTGGCAAGTAAGCACATCAGCTGCTCATTGTTCCGGAATGCCCCAAATTTGCGGAAAACATTCTGCTGTTATTAAACTCAAGAGAAGAACAAACTTCAGGAACTTCCTCAAAGCTCTTAGGGTCAAGTGTGTACAAAGCATGTCGTGCGTGGACATGTATATACATGTTCACACCGCGTACATTTGATTGGAATACATGTACCGGTATTCATTGAAACCAATAAGAGCCCCTCTTGAATAGAAGCCTCCTCAAAATTGGCAATGGACAAATAGAAGCCCCCCCCCCCCCCTCTGGTTTTACTCGACGGGTCGTCCCAGGCAGCTTTCTTGTTTATCTAATACCCCCCTGTTGCGCGTGTGTGTTTCTACTGCAGGTTGGTTCAGCTAAACCCGGTGTCATCCACTGCTGTTCTGTCAGGTAGTGACGGCTCACGACTGACAGTCAGTACTCGTCTGGTGGAGCCGTTCCCCTACCGGCTGCACTCTCTCATACAGCTGATCGGCGAGATGGAAGTGACGGGCGGTGGCGAGTGTGTGATTGTGCCACGTGTTGCGCGCTGCGTTGACGGCCTGGATGTACGCCTGCACAACGAAGCGCTCGGCGTCTGGAGGCAGTTCCTGGAGAAGCAGCAGATGCAACAGCAGCAGCAAGATGAAAATGATGAACTCCCATCTGACATATTTGATATGTGAGGAAGAGAGACGACGATGATGACAACGACACCAGTGGATCACTGACAGTGGTAGAATACCTCTCAGAGTCTGCAGTAGCTGGCTATATGTTGGTGCTGAGCACACACTCACTTCCACATCCAAACCGAAGAGTATTTACTGCCAGATGCAATGTTTGCAGTACCAATCTACACAGCATTCGCAGCAAGTCGTCAGTCATCTCCGCACTGTGTGCAGGTTGTGTGTTATGGGCATGCTCTACATCAACTACACTGTACAGACTGTACAGGCATACTAGTACTAGTAGTGGTGTACCGTGTAGAACCCGGCTGCGCGTGTCAAGTGTCGATGCAGTGATAGTCGGCCGGCATGGTGTAGAGTAGTGCAAGTGCGAGGACTGTTACTACTGCCACTACTGTCACAGTCAGTGCAGCTTGTGTAGTAACTTATCCACTCCATGTCTGTGTAGTAACTTATACACTCCATGTCTGTGTAGTAACTTATACACTCCATGTCTGTGTAGTCACTGGGCACACATCCGCTGCCAACGTGAAGCGAATGTCTTTGCAGCCATCAGCATCTACACACGCTGCTTAGCTACTGATCAGCCTGATCGTGAACAGAGTGGCACACACACACGCACTGGAATATCAGCAGCTAAGCTCAGTTCAAGCCACTGCTCAGTGCAACAGTCCACACACCATGAAAACTGGGACCACCTGTTCAGAAACAGAACTGTGATGGTGCATATCCACTTTACCAACTGCCGCCATGACCATCCCCATCAAGATGACACCAATACCAGTGCTCTGCAGTTTATTTATCAAGTCCAGAGACATATTATTACAGGGTGCGACAGAGCTATAGTCAACACAAGTCCAGAGACACGCATCCTAAATCAGATAATCCAAGGGTGGTGGATTTGGCAGCAAGCTAACAGAGAGGGCTGATGTGCAACACGTGGCTCATGACCGATGTTTAGTAATCCCTTGAGCTCTAACCGTAACAGTGAGTATGTATGTGGTGGTAGTGATTTGATTTTGTTAGCTGTTCCCTGCTTGACTCGTTCCTGTACATGTAGTATGACCAAAGGTAACGCTGCGCAGTATTGAACTCTATTTGCTCCACGGTGCTAGTTCCATGCCTGTGGCTCAGGTTTCTGCTAACTGGACAGCACGTGTGCTGTCCTCTTTGGCGCTTCCCTGGTCAGAATGAGCTGTGCTATCTTTTCTCTTGTGCATCGTACACATGGGAACTGAATTACCAGCACTGCCTACCTGGGTTTGGTCCCGTTCGACTGTGATTTTTATCTTGTGTGTGTGTGTGTGTGTTTAAATCTAAATTAGACCTAAGTTAGACCTATAGCATGTTTGTGAACATGCTGTATTTGGAATTGTTTGAAGAGAGCTGTGCAGTTTGCATTGAACTACCGTGTTACTTGTGTTCTGTATTCCACAGACCCATTTTGCCGAAAATATGACTTCGTACTTTTTCTCCGATGAGTTTTCCGACTGAAATTAATTCTGGAATAATAATCTCACCTCCCAGATCGCATGACTCCACTACAATTATAGGTGCTCAGTTTACTGCACAGTCAGGTATATGTCTGCAGCTTTCAGCATGTTTTCCAGGGAGGGGAGCATGCCAGTACCAAGTCCCGCTCTCATTGTGAACACACACACACACACCCACACACACACAAGTGTAGTAGTACTTCTTCAGAGCTAGACTCCGCAATACAAGTCAAGCACCTCCTCAGGAGTTCTATTGTCCTACAGCTAGTTGTGTCCTTACGAGGCCTTTAGTGTACTTTCCCCGAATATTAATTTTGTAAATGTCATGCATGCCTTTCACTGCAGGTGCCCAGTGAGCCAGTTTCCATCTCCCATTACTGTGGCTAGATGGCCTGGGCATATGGAAGCAAGCAATTTCAGTTATTTCACAAATCCATGCTAACCCCAAGGCCCTGTGGAGAGTGCTCCAGAAATATTTGGCATGCAGTCAGTTCTTTTTCTATAATTATATCGGCACTATCCACTCCTCAAGTATGGAGACCCGACACAATAACCCAGCTCCCCACTGATGCAAGTGGCACACAAAATTAAACAGCAGGAGAAAAAAAGCACACAAATCTGCAAATGCACTGGATTGTACATGTACACCCACTGGTTTTCTCTTAGCAGACAACGATCTGAATGACACAGATCATGACTTGTGCCAGGTGTTATAAACTGCGCATCTAACTGGCAAAGCTGCGTGTGAATCAACCCCCAATACCCACCCACCCCACCGGCCCACACCACACACACACACACACACACACACACCACCGGCACACACACACACACACACACGATAGATGTCATTCAGTTAAGCAAAAAAGGTACATAATATAACAATAAGCATGCAGTCATGAAAACATGGTGGTTGTAGCAGAACCTGCAGCTATCTAGACAGCTTCTAAGTCTCAACGGAAAACACAACAAAAGTGCACTAAAGTCAAAATGCAGCCACATGGGCAGCAGTCTATAAGTTTCTAGGTTCCAGGCGACTCGTTTCTATTCGAGTCGGCGCTAAAGAGAGAGTAAATCAGATAGGGAATCCATGGTGCAAAGCACGGCGGTGCATTGGTCTGGTCTACAGTGTGAGTAGATAGCAGAGAAATATAAATAGGACAGCAGCAGTGATTGAAGCAGCAGAGCCATCACATAACAAAGTTTTCAAATACAACCCCAGACTCCTTTAGCTAATACACGCCAGTACATAACAGTGCGAAAACGAGTGTCGAAAATACCGGGATATTGGCGTAATTATGTTGCTCATAAGATATAGAAAAAGGCGCGTAGCGCTGTATGAAAATAGAACTAGTGCGCCCAGCGGATACAACCAGGGCATAAGAAATGAAGTAGACAGGGCCAGGGGGGTGGATGACGAACACTCATAACACTGCAGCAGAAGGCCATGCTACTCGGCGGTCAGGTCACGCCATTCAGCAGCTGTGTCATTCTGTGGAGTAACATCGCGTACCGGGCCATCACAGTGCCCAGGCGCTACGGCAGACTTCAAGGCTAGGTAGGGATCAGAGAAAGAACGATGATAGCGCCACTGCGGCACAGATCTACCGACCACTGCAGTCCACAATAGAGTATAGTGCTGGCGTATGTAAGGCACCAGTTGTTTACACAGCGGGTGCTGGCGTATGTAAGGCACCAGTTGTTTACACAGCGGGTGCTGGCGTATGTAAGGCACCAGTTGTTTACACAGCGGGTGCTGGCGTATGTAAGGCACCAGTTGTTTACACAGCGGGTGCTGGCGTTACACTACACGCCTATGACATTATCAGTTCACCATAGATCATCTTTACTTTAAAAATTCTCGAATTGTTCTGCGTCACTTGGCGGATACTGCGTAAAAACTAGAAGTTTTTAAATTAAAAGAGATCTTGAGCAGCCAACGCTGGTCAGCTACAAATGCTTGCGTGAGCCATCAAGGAGACGTTGCCACCACTAAGCAGTAGTAAACTGTCCGCATAGAGCACTTGGCTTACATTAAGATACTAGCTTGGCCTGATACAGGTGAGTTGTGTGTCTAAGCTGACGATGTCCGATATTCTCTGGCTAGGTATCAAGCAAGGTGATTTTGACATCTCCATTTTCTATCTTAGTAACCTTGCTGCCGGTGTCAATTTCAGACGCCGTCAAAGTATTGCAGGATGCATTGATCTCTACCTCGGCATCACCATCGACTGCATCATCACCAGTTGTCAACCTACTCTCAGCAGCCACATCATAGTGTGTTGACTTCTCCACTGAGAGCTGGAAGGAGATAAGACGTGACTGGAACAGAGAGTCATTGTCCCACACCATGCCTAGCACACCTGCTTCTGTGGAGAAGTACGAGTCACTGAAGCCATCGGACGATGCGCTGATCACACAGGATTCTGACACGACAGAGCTGCCATCAAGCCAGCGCGACACTTCCGCCGGATTGGCAGTGTTCACCGCGTCGGTCTTGTTACTCCAGTAGGCACAGAACTTGACGTCCTTGCTGGCAACGCGGAAGTACCAACTGACAACATCACCAGCTCGGCATTCCACTGCCTTCATCACACGACGCCGGGCTAACACCGGCGTGTCCAAGAACTTGACACCATCCAGCGGCCGTGACTCGCGCCGACTGGAGAAAGCAGGGGGAAGCGGCGGGAACAGATCTTGCACCGTTCCACCATACTCCACAGGCAGCTGGTCGGGAGAGAAGTAGTCATAGAGCTCTCCCATTCGGTTTGCACTGAGCACAACAAACTTTTCCCGGGTCTTGGCATCTAGTGCACGGCGGCAAATTTTCCACAGCGCCGGGAAAACTGCCGGTACATTGACGAAGAATATGCGGCCAGCTCGTTCTGGGTAGAAATCGGTATCAATACGGGCTAGCCGTGTGAACATGCCCAGCACTTGACGATGTTGCAGTGACAAGCCGCGCATGTCATGGATCTCGCACCAGTTATCCAGGCCGGCATGATCGTATTGGTGTGCGTTTTCTTCCACTCGCCGTACCATAAACTCTTGATGATAGATGTGACGGCGGACTACAGCTTCCACATTGAGCTGCGCCACAATCAGTGGATCGACGGCCCCACTGCGCTCTAGATACAACGGCCGATGGTCCAAATCTTCACCGTGATAGGCTAGAGATAGAGTTGACTTTAATTCCTCTTCCAGAGGATAGGACCCTTTCAAAATATCTTCAACAGCGTACGCCTCGCGCCATTCCTGAGTCTGCTTCCATTGCTTGAATGCAGCTACCACATTGAATGATCTGGCCCGCAAAAATCGCAGTAAATCCACGTCTGTTTTCTGTGTGGTAGGGGTTCCGGGACCACCCTCACTAATTAGGCGACGTATACTTTTCAATGCTTGGTTCTGCTGATCCGAAAGATCTCCGATCCGGCCACTCATCTTCCTAAACTGTCAGAATACACCAAAGAGATGTCGCATCCCATAAATAAACGCCACGAACTGCAGCTGAGCGTCACAGCAACCTCAAAATGTCACACCACTGCTCAATAGCCAGCCGAATCATATCCATATGGCAGCCAGTCCGGAAATCTAGTTCACCGCACTGCCACAACCATGCGGCCGGCAACAAAAATCACTGTAACTACAAATTGTAAACGACCTTCGTCAGTCTACATTGGATTCAAGCAGCCATGAACCCCAGCCATATAATGGCAGCAAGTAAAATAAAAGAGACAACGACTTCTTGCTGGGTGCATTCGTTGAAAGTGTGTTTTGGTGTTCTGGTTTTGTGATCGTGAGCATGCTAGCTAGCTGTGCCTTTCGCAAGTGACTTGTACTTGTACTGACTGTACCATGATGTACGGGGATCGCGAGGTCGATCGAGTTCAACCAGTCGACCAGGGCGGGCCAGGCCAGGGTACCCGGGTCCAGCCTCTACAAGTACAGTCATGTAGTCCAGGGATCTTCCGGTCCCGTCCGCGAAGACCTGGTCCAGTACCAGGGCAGTGGTCACATGATCATGTCGACATGTCATTTTCCATCATGATGACACATTAAATTTTATTTTTGTAGAAAAACTCGGATGGGAACAAACAAAACAGTTGAGATTTCATTTTTCAAGAAGGAGCTTGCACAGCTGACGATTCGTTGTTCTGTTTGGAGTCTTATAGTTCTATGCAGTGTTGAAAGCTTGAAATTGGCGAACACAAAGAAACCATTGAATTGAAATTCTGTGTCGCAGTCTTATACAACAGCTGTAGTGGCAATGGCGCGCAAGAAGGTTAGTGGGTTTCGTCCCTGTATTCGTGTTGGCTCTACTCCTTGTCTCTTGATAAGAATATGAAAATGTACAGCTCTTTCATGCCGTTGTCGCAACTTTATTCATTTGCTTGTGTGTACCGTTGTCTGTTGGTAGGTGCTCTTAATGGGCAAGAGCAGTGCCGGAAAGACTAGCATGCGCTCAATCATCTTCGCCAACTACATCGCCAGGGACACGCGGCGTTTGTGTGCTACAAGTAAGAGAAAGATCCTCTGACAATTTGCGCTGAAAATTTGATCTTAGTACATGTACGCGGTACATGGCATCAAGGTATTCGCAGCTCAAGTACATGTAGCTAAAATAGCATTCAAATAATCTGTAATGATCAGTGGGATTTTGGTACTGTACAGCATGATGGTTGGAATTTCAATCCAGATACATTTATGCGTTCAAGGTTTTGTCTGCAAAAAAGCGAGGGGGGGGGGGCGTGAGTGAGAGATCATAGCAACCTCAAACTTCAGTATAATATTCCTCCAAGGGCTATAGCGTCCGAACTTTATCATTACTTCCATGTTGCGGTTGAAGTGGACCAGCGTGGTCACTGTGCTGGTCATGGTGCAGCTGCTTACCCATCACCTACACACCTACACATACACCTGGTGTAAATGACTGGCAAAAAAGGCATGGCAGCTTGATGAAAACGTCACTGTATGGATACTACATCCGCTCAACCGTGATCATTTGGTCACCTAGTGTGTATGCATGTATACGACATCTGCTGAAATTCCGCTTGCCACGTAATTATTGTGTTGGTCACATCGTACACGCGGACAGCCCCCCTCTGCTCCCCTCTATTATTCCCTAACAGACTACTGTTAGTCTCATGTACAGTATTCAATTGTGCTGTGTTGGCTCACTGTGCACGTGTGTGTGTGTGTGTGTGTGTACGTGTGTGTCTGTGTGAGTGTCTGTGTGTCTGTGTGTGTGCCTGTGTGTGTGTCTGTGTCTGTGTGTGTTTTCAGTTGATGTGGAGCACTCTCATGTCCGCTTCCTGGGAAATCTCGTCCTGAATCTGTGGGACTGTGGCGGGTATGTGAACTGTGTGCGTAGCTTTGTGACGCTGTGTTTGCATGGGCATGGGTGACATGTAGTACGCCTGTGTGTGTATGTGTGTGGGGGGGGGGGGGGGGGTCAGGGCTGGCGGATGCATGCCCGTGTACATGTTTAGTACCAAGAGTACATACCCCCTAGCAAGTAGCAAGAGTGCATAACCCCTGGCAAGTAGCAAGAGTGTGCAACTCGACTGTGGGTGCTGTCTCGTAAAAGAAAGAGTAAATTATCGTGTCCGTTCCCGAATGGAACTCACGAAGGCCACTAACACCCGGTAAACCCTAACTGCAGACTGCTGTCCCAACAGAATTTCAAGTTGATGTCATTTTTATGATGGAATGCGCACTGTACATGTACCGTAAAATCCCGCCAGAGCGCCCCTACCTCCTCGACGCTTCAGGTGGGGAGGGGCGGATGGGCGAGTCCTACTTGCCGCATTCAGTGCTACATGAAAAAGTACTCACCCTACGAAAATTGTTCGTGCATCTCGTACACCGACCAAAGGTCAAGAGCCAGGAGACGAACAGACCCGACAAAACGCAGGGTTTGTGCGATCCCTGGTCAGGAGGGTGGGCACTGTTGCGTACATTTCCAACGGGGTCGAGCACGCGTCTGCAGTGCAGTACGGCATCACAGACTGCGACAGAGTCATACGAGGATACAATCAATCACGTCCCTGACGAGAAGTCAGGGAGGGGCGGATGGGAGAGACGGGGCGCTCTGGCGGGATTTTACGGTATTATCAGACGTATCCTGAACCTGTGATGGACAAAGCCACATTTGATCCTGTTCAAATTACCCCAAGGAAACACATGTGATGCGTTGACACACCTCGTACAAATGTCGTAAATCACTGGTGCAAGGAGCATTGCATCATAAATTGACATCAACTTGAAATTCTGTCCGGGCACTAGGGTATGCGAGAGTTGCACACTCTTGGGGTGGGGGTATGTACTCTTGCCCCTAGAGTGTGCAACTGCCTGTCCAACCTGTACCCAGTGCTGCAAGAGCAGAACTACACATGCCATGGTTCAGTAGCTTGCACTGGCAAACAGTGCAAAGTGACCGCCAAGGAGTTGTACCCAAGGCAGTCTGGTGCACAACCCCTGTCGCTGTTATGCACAAGGTGCAAATAATGTGTATGAGTTTGTCACGTGATGTGAAGTTCTGCTCTCGCAGCAGACGCAGTAGACTGGAGTTGCACACTCTTGGGGGTTACGTACTCTTGCTGGTGCATGAAGCATACACCGTACAGTGCTTGGTTGTGCACAGTGAACAGTGGCAGTGTTACTGTGGCACATTGGCTTTGCTGCATGAGGAGGGTCTCTGTGTTGGGTCTCTGTGTTGATGACCTTCGTGCCTTGTGCACCTATACTCCCATACCCTAGTAGCACACATCTGACTAGCTTGTTTTATACTCTGTCTGTCTGTCTGTCTCTCTCTCTATCTATCTCTATCTATCTCTCTCTGTCTCTCTCTGTCTCTCTCTCTCTCTCTCTCTCTCTCTCTCTCTCTCTCTCTCTCTCTCTCTCTCTCTCTATCTATCTCTCTGTCTCTGTCTCTGTCTCTCTCTGTCTCTCTCTCTATCTCTATCTCTCTCTCTCTCTCTCTCTCTCTCTCTCTCTCTCTCTCTCTCTCTCTCTCTCTCTCTCTCTCTCTCTCTCTCTCTCTCTCTCTCTCTCTCTCGTGCGTTGAAAATTATTCTCTTTATCTTATTATTTCTTTTCTATAATTTTCCCATACGAATTCCTATCAGTTGCTGTGAACACCTTGAGTGGAGAGCGCTTGCTCGAGCGTTGAACCGGGTTCTTAATCCACCATACCCAGTTCGCAAGGCTGGGCGGGGTTGTGAGCAGGCTTTCATTTCATCTTTTCTTATTATTTCTTATTATTTCTGCTTTTCATCTCATTACAAAAATTCTGCGCTTTTTCTCCATCTGCGCATAAAATCTAGACTGACAACCTGCTTGTTAAATCATGCACCTGCTTTCAGGCGTAAACACCTTGTTGTAGAAGTCTCAGTCCTCATTTGTTAGACTTACCTGTCTTTATAAATGTAACTTACTCTCTCTCTCTCTCTCTCTCTCTCTCTCTCTCTCTCTCCTCTCTCTCTCTCTCTCTCTCTCTCTCTCTCTCTCTCTCTCTCTCTGTCTCTCTCTCTCTCTCTCTCTCTCTCTCTCTCTCTCTCTCTCTCTCTCTCTCTCTCTCTCTCTCTCTCTCTCTCTCTCTCTCTCTCTCTCTCTCTCTCTCTCTCTGTCTCTCTCTGTCTCTCTCTCTCTCTCTCTCTCTCTCTCTCTCTCTCTCTCTCTCTCTCTCTCTCTCTCTCTCTCTCTCTCTCTCTCTCTCTCTCTCTCTCTCTCTCCTCTCCCTCTCTCTCTCTCTCTCTCTCTCTCCCTCCCTCTCTCTCTCTCTCTCTCTCTCTCTCTCTCTCTCTCTCTCTAGTTTACCTATGTATTGTCCTGTCGCATATGCTAGCAGGCTCTCATTTCGTACGTTTTCCAGGTTGCCCCGGAACCACTGGGCATTTGTTTGACGGGTGTTATGGTCCTAGAATGCATGTCTCACCAGAGAAGTTCGCGCTTTTGACCGGGTGTTTTTTGCATCGGTTGTGTGGCCCTTGGCTGGGATGCGAGTCCGTAAACCCCGGTGCTATCCCCAGCTACATGCCTGTGCTGCTCAGTCTGTTCACCTCCTCTGGTAGCTGTGACACCGTTGCACTGCATAGCTCAGGCGCACACTCAACGGGGATTTAATGCTGGCCAGAGTCAGCGTGTCTACATACAGTCGAGTGGGCACAGCTACACTCTGGGCTACTTACCTGCACTTATGAGTTATAAAGAGGGATTTCCTTTAGCCAGCGGAGAGGGCTCGACACGAATACTGTGGAGACTCTGTAAACCTCCTTTGTGCCGGTTATGTCTACCTGTATTGATACGGATGTGTTTGTGTTCCTGCCTGTCTGCGGGTTTCTTGCGGTACTCAGGCAGAGGCGTTCATGGAAAACTACTTCACCAGCCAGCGCGACACCATCTTCCGCAACGTGGAGGTGCTCATCTACGTGTTTGACGTGAAGAGCGAGGAGCGTGATAAGGACATCCATTACTACCAGTCCTGTCTTGAGGCAATCCTGGAGAACTCGCCCAAAGCAAAGGTCTTCTGTCTTGTGCACAAGATGGACTTGATTGCCGATAGTCACCGCGATGCCGTAAGCAGGTGTTGATTTTGGAACTTCTCCTCGTTTTGTTTGGTTGTCTTCTCCATGTTTGTCCAGTGGGGCAAGTGCACTGTTCGTGGTGATGTACTGCTGCATGCACACTACAGTGCTGCTGCTGCTGCATGTGTGCTTGTGCGTTCATCGTACGTGCAGTCAGCGTCTTGTCTACGCGCGTGTGTGTGTGTGTGCGTGCGTGCGTGTGCATGTTTTTGTATGTTTGTGTGTGCGTATGTGTGTCATTCAATCAAACCTGACTATGTTGTTTCTTGCAGGTATTTGCACAACGGGAAGAAGAGTTGAAGCGGTTATCACGACCTCTGGAGGTCACGGCGTTCAAGACGTCCATATGGGATGAAACCCTCTACAAGGTATGCATAGCCGTACAATCAACTGCCCCCCCCCCCCCCCCCCTCCCATGCACAGCACAGCTATTGTCCTGGTGAATTTCTTGTACAGTGTGTTTGGGATGCTGTGTTGTCCGAGTGTCTAGCTCATGATGTGTGTTGGTGTTCTTGTGTGTGTGTGTGGGGGGGGGGAGAAGCCTGAACATGCGTGCTCTTTGCGAGATGGCTACGTTGCTGACATTTGATGATTTCGAAGGTGTTTCAGAGACAATGGTCATGAATGGAATGATGTGACACTGTTGCCAGTGTTGTGTAAGCTTTGCAATCGCCTGCATTCTGTGTTTGCCACAGGCCTGGTCGTCCATAGTGTACCAGCTAGTGCCGAATGTTAGTGAACTGGAAAGAAGCCTTCAGCAATTTGCTGAGATCATTGACGCAGACGAGGTCTTGCTCTTCGAACGGGCAACTTTCTTGGTGATATCCAACTCTCTGCGTCGTGAGCATCACGATGACCATCGTTTTGAGAAGATCAGCAATATCGTAAAGCAGTTCAAGCTTAGCTGCAGGTGAGGCGCAATCACGCTGTCATTTGCACACACATTCACTGCAAACTTCTCTTCTACAGTTGTGGCAAGTGAAATCCGACACTTGGCATAAGGGACTGCACCATGCAGTCTGCAGCCCCTGCAGCCCTGCATACGTACAGTACATGTGTTACATACAACTTTATCTGTCTGATGACAAAACTCGTACTCATCACAGACAAGGTTCAAAAGGTGCTGGCAAAAATGAATGGGGATTGGATACCAGTACTCCTTATGTGTACCATATTTGTGAACTGTGTGTATCTACGCTGTGACCTTTCGATCTGTTTGGGATGCATACGGCTCTATAGTACAAATTAGGTGCAGTGCATTACATCATTGGTGTCCATTTGTGGCGCTGTCCCCTAAGGCAAGTGTCGGATTTCACTTGCCACAACTGTAGTTTGTGATTGCCGACCCATTCTCTGCAAACTTCTCTTCTAGTTTGTGATGTCACCCGAGCTATCATGAGCTTTCAACATTTGGTTTTGTTTACCATGCCTGTGTTTCAATTAGTGGTGTGTACGGGTAGCACGGGTACCCGTGCTACCCGTGAGGACCTCGGGTAGACGGGTACAGAATAGTACCCGAAAACCCGAAGATGACATCGTGCACAGTGCACGTGTACAAATTAATGAAATACTCTGCATGTCTACCCATTGTGCAAGGGAAGGGGTGCATTGTGGTGTTACCATGGAACCCTTACCCGATCGGGTGCCTGTGCTACCCGTGGAAAACTACCCGAACCCGATACCCGAAGAAAATGCCACCCGACTCAGCCCTAGTTTTGTTTGCCATGCCTGTGTTTTGTTTCTGCTGAGTGCAGTAAGCTCTCAGCTCAGTTCCATAGCATGGAGGTTCGAAACAGCCAGTTTGCTGCATACATTGATGTCTTCACTCCTAACACCTATGTACTGGTCGTGACCAGCGACTCCACGCTACGTAAGTCATTGCTGCTGGTGCTCTCTCTCTCTCTCTCTCTCTCTCTCTCTCTCTCTCTCTCTCTCTCTCTCTCTCTCTCTCTCTCTCTCTCTCTCTCTCTCTCTCTCTCTCTCTCTCTCTCGTCTCTCCTGCTCTACCTACTTTATTATCTCCACGCAAGCACCTTTGTGATTGCATATAATTATTTCCTTTCCATTTTCTTTTTGTCGCATTAATATTAGATGTTCTTCTCTTTGTTCTTGTTGCTTTTGTTCACAGCATCCAGTGCTATGTTGATCAATATTCGTAATGCCCGCTCTCACTTTGAGAAGCTTGAGCAGGCGCAGGAGAGTGCGGTTGTACGCTAGTGTCAGGCCCACAACAGCTGCTGCTGCTGCTCCTAGGCTGTAGGTGAGCAGAGAGCATGCACGGATGAACGGATATGCTTTCGACGGGCGTGCACAAGCAGGGCGGCCATCTTCTCTCTATCTCCTCTAGATGTGTCCTGTCCACCGGAAACATACACAGCAGTGCTCACAATACAGGAGTGTGCATAGTGCCATTCAGACTTGCACTTCTGTCCGCCACTGGTAGTACCAGCAACAGCAGCAATGTCAAGTCATCTGTCAAGTCATCCTCAGGTTGGTGATGAGTTGCTTTCCCTGTATCGGCATACACGGCTCCAGCTTAGCCTGCCAACTAAAAAAAAATCCAAACAAGATATCGAAAGACCCTTCTCTTCCTCTTGAGTTTATTTAGCCATCATGTACATAGAATGACAGTGTGTGTGTTGTACATGGTGTGTGTGTGTGTGTGTGTGTGCGTGTGTGTGTGCGTGCGCGCTTAGCTGTTCATCAGGCTCATAGTCCTGTTCAGTTCATGTGAAGGTTAGTGACTGGGTGAGCATAGCTCACAGGGCAATTCTCATGATAGCTGTACATCAGCAATAGAGCTGTGTACCGTATGCTAGGGTTTGGTCACGTGAAAGTGGCATGCAACCTTCAATGCTGTTCCGGTGGTGACAGTGATTGAGTACACCTGTGCGCTTTTTCAACTACACCTGCTCCACCTGCGACCACTGTTCTTTACGTAGTGCTAAATTTCAGCTTCTTGATTTTGCTTGCTTCTGTGCGTTGGATGATCTGGTACTGATTTGTGTATTTTTTATCACCATACCTGCTTCTCGAAGTAAGACGAGATTCGGCTCCAGCCTTCCTGTCGGAATCGCTTTTTAATAGTGCTGCACAGAAACAACTTCTATCTGCCGCCAAGGCCTTGCAACCTGCTATTACAGCACTTGATGTAGTCTCTCATCTCGAGGCGTGTATAGCTCTCTCCCTCTCCTCTCTCTCTCTCTCTCTCTCTCTCTCTCTCTCTCTCTCTCTCTCTCTCTCTCTCTCTCTCTCTCTCTCTCTCTGGTTTTTAAACCCGAAGTCTGTGACTTTTTTCCTATCACAGCCACCATGCAGCTTCAAAGTATGTTTCTTGTATTTTCATAGTGTGTCTTTGGACACAAGTATATATATTTTTTATCACTCTAACCATGGCTGATTGGTGTGCTCCACCCAGCGCAATGTGGAGTCTGAACTTAGGTCAAGAAAGGAGAACCAGGTTGTTTGCTAAGTGTTTGTGTGTGGCTGTATGTGCAGAAACGTTGGAAAGACTCTGTTGTGCGGACCTGGCATGCTTCGATGTTGTTGGGCATGACTGGTACTACACTGCTCAGCATGGGAACGAATGACGTGGTACTCTATGCCACTGGCACGTAAGCCAGTGTGCAGTGCGATAGCTCGGCTGAGTGCGTCAGTACAACATTGTCCATCGCGATCTCTCTTGTATAGATGCACACTCAAACTGGTGCATGAAATGATGCATCTGTGATATGAAGTCAGACACTGCAACAGCGATCAGCTTATTTGTTGTTGCTGGATAGATGGGCCATCATGGCATACATCATGGCATACATCATGTGCCTCATGTCAGAGCATGCACACTCATGCCTACTCACAATGCGAAGGCCTTAAAAACGTTCAGCTTCGTACTCGCTGATCTACATTGTTGATTCTGTATCAACAGCAGATCGACTGGCTAGTGTGTCATCCAGTGCTTACCAGTACAAACTCGCGTGCATGCACAAAATGACACAGGCTATCGCAGTGCGCTCAGATTTTGAGTTGAGCCTGATGATGATGTACATCAGGGAGTCGTTTGGCAGGGAGTCAGTCGTACAGTGACCCAAGCCATACCAGGTTTGGCAGGGAGTCAGTCATACAGACTGTAACAGTGACCCAAACCTGATTCGGGTCACTGTATGACTCCCTGGTGTACAGCTGTCGCAGCAGCTACACCTGACCCCACCAGATGGATTGTTATTAAGCATACACTGTACATGTAACGTTACATTGGAACACATAGATAGTAGATTCACATTGGATCAAGTGTCACATGCTTTGTTCAGAAGACTACTTGTATTATATTATTTATAATATATGTTGTAACAGGCACGGCATTGTAATAAAATTGTTGACATGCACACTATTGTTGACTCTCGTGTACACAAGCTGGGTGACAAGACAGTGCAGTGAGCCAATCAGCTGAGCATGACAGACTCTACAGGATGCTCATGAGTCAGATACATGTAGGTGTGACTTGGCAGCACTGTGCACTGCTGCACTGCACTGGAGCAAGACTAACTCTATAATACGGGTAGAACTGTTGTAAAACGCCACACCTGTACAGCACTGCGCAACACTGTACAACTGTATACCTATTGTTTCATGCTGTCAATCTAACAATATGCGTGAACTATTACAAGGTTTATCTAATACTGGTCAGTTTGAACCAGTATTGGGTTGTACAACTGTATACCTGTAGCAAGACCACGGTTTACTTTGGTACTTTGTTCGTGTAATTCTGTTGGCTGACAGACTGGCTGGCAGACATACAGAGGTCGGTCACAGCACTTCTGAATGACATGGCGAGAGGATCGACTGCTTGTCTCCGTGCTGCTGTTTGTAGCCAAACTTCACAGTCTTGTTGGTATGCAGCCGAAATACACTTGAGCTGCACCAGTTCCGTCATCATGTTATCTCCACCTTGGCTTTTCAGGTTGCTTGTGCGAACTTCCGAGAAGAGAGACTTGTATGCCGGGACGTGCAGGTGGCGGGCCAGGTCTTGTCTGCATGCTTGCGGATCTGGCTGGAGGTGCAGCAGTAGTACTAGTACTCCGGCCGCCGGTTGCCTGTGAACCGAATGAACGCAGTACGCCCCGCGTTACTGAAGTTGGTGTAGTTCTCGACACGGCGCTTGATGACTTCTGGGATGTTGTCGTCACAGGCCTCTCTGCAGCAGCAGCAGGTGCTGCACTTCCAGTGCGTTCACTCTGCTGTGTTGTGCGTGGCCGGGCTACAAGGCGTGATGATCCAGCCCTTGCCGCTTCGGCTTTCCGCCGAGCCTTGTACGCCTGAACGGCAGATTGTGCGCGTATTTCCTCCATTCTGAGTTCGAATTCATGGGGCCGAGTCGGCTGTGGTGGTACCATTGTGCAGGCTCTTTGTGCGACCGGCTGTGAGGTACGTGGTCTGGTGGTGGTATGTGATGCTGGTTGGGTGTTTGCTGCACTTCTCCGAGCTGGGGGTCTCGTCCTGTCTACATTGCGAAGTCCGGCGACCGTGCGCAGGCTGAGGCGGTTTTGCTTTAGGCGTTCTCTCTGTGTATGCTTTACTGCTGCTGTACTCATACACGCGTATGCACACACACACACACACACACACACACGCACACACACACACACACACACACACATACACACACACACACACACACACACACACACACACACACACACACACACACACACACACACACATGCAGGGAGACAGACAGGCAGATAGGCAGACAGAATGTGTTCAAACTTTTGCCACAGAAATTGTTTCGCTTCCTGTACTGTTGTGGGCATTGATATCCGGTGGAATGACCAGGACCGGTCCCCTTACTGCTTTCAGCGACATGGCGTACATGTCCTGTAGTTCACGTACACACTGCAAATAATGGACTAGCATGTAGCAGTGCTCACGGCTGTATGGCCAGCGCCCCGGTGGCCGCTTGACTTGTTAAAAAAAAAAAAAAAGGATTTCAATGTCCACAGCTGTACTTTGGTCCAGTAGAACAGCGCATGTGTGACGGGAATGGTCTTAGAGACTGCTTCTCCCATTCCCGTTGGCCTTCCAATCACATAATGACTTACACTCTTTCTGCAGGCTCTGTATGGTGATCCCCGAATTACTTATTATTATTCATGCATAATGGACAACTATTTCTCTACACACATCCTTATTCTACCTCCCACACCGTGCTCTGAACACAGCAGGGAGTCAAATATGACTCCCTGCATTTATTCTGAAATATGAAGCTGGCCACGACGAGGGTTTCCCCTCAGTTCTTGGTTAGTCCAGAAGGAGTGAGTTCGATTTGTTGTGTCGACTGGAGCTGCTAGTAAATTAGTATGCTTACTGTTACAGCATGCAACATACATACCAGTGTGTATATACTAGACATGCACAAGTATCCGTACTATTCCCTAGTATCAGCAGAACATAAACCAGATCATGAATCAGCACACGTGGGTTCAGGAAAGGAATAGTTGATGTTACGATGTTACTGAAGTACATGTTGGTCGGTGCAGCACATCACGGAAAGCATGGATCGCGATTCCGAAGATCTGTTAAAAATGACGCTAACGGCGAGCTCTACATTTTCTTAGGCTGATGTACACATGGGGTGGCACACTCTGGGGAGTGTTGTACCCTTGGAGCACATAACATTCTGCAGCCGTGTGTGTGTGTGTGTGTGTGTGTGTGTGTGTGTGTGAGGGGGAGGGGGGGGGGGGGGTATGGGTGTGTGTGAGGGGGAGGGGGGGGGGGGTATGGGTGTGTGTGTGCGTCCTAGGCTGTACTGATTACTGCTTAGTAGCAGTGCTTACATGCCTGTAAGCCAACTTTCTCGGCTTGGAGGATAGCACCGATTGCCTTTCCTTCCGGTGTGTCAGTCTGCGCCATTATGGAGTATTTGTAGTGAGCATTTTCCAGTAGCTGGTACTTCGCTGCTCTTCTCTCATCCGGCGTCATGTCCAGATAAGCAGCTGTACAAGGTGCGGAGATAACAACAAAGACAACAGCAACAACAACAACAACAACAACAACAACAACAACAACAACAACAACAACAACAACAACAACAACAACAACAACAACAGCAGCAGCAGCAGCAGCAGCAGCAGCAACAACAACAGCAGCAGCAGCAGTGGCAGCAACAACATCAGCAGCAGTAGCAGCAGCAGCAACAGCAACAACGACGACAACAAGAAAAAGAAGAATAACAACGACGACAATAACAGCAGTCAATGCATCACGAAGCTTTCCAACCCACACCCAATTCAAGCAACATAATTATCTCTCCATTTCTGCATAATTCTATTTCCTCCTGTAGCCACCCCCAGATGAGCAGCAGTAGCAGTAGCAGTGGTAACATCAAGCAGAACACTTGAGGATGTAGCAACAATAGCATGGACACTAATATACAGGGATAGCTGGGCAAATGACTAGTTTTGACAATGGCATTTCCAGTGGAAATCACAGCCGAGAGGCATTAGAGCATTTTGAGGATGAACCTTCAGCTTCATTTCATAAAACACACTTCAAAGTAGGCTTATCACTACTATCTCTGCGCTGGAGAAATCGAGCAGAACGGTACGCACCTTCAAGAACTCTTCGGTCGAAGCATTCCTTTGAGTGTCCGGTTTTGTACCAGTCGTCATATACACAATCTTTACTGCAGTACTTGACAATTCCACAGCCGAAGCATGCAGTCAGCGCCTTTCCACAAGGCACCTTGAAACAGTGGTAGCACTGCTTGTCGAATAGTGAGCTGTCCTCGGGCAACAGGGGCTCACCATGGGGTGGCTGTGATGGTTGTGGCTTTCTCTGTATCTCCGAGCGTGTAGCCAGCGTCAGCTTGGCCTGGTCAGGCATATTGCTTGCTGTACTCTCCTGTGATGACTCTGACTCAGAGGGGAATGTGTCTTCCCGGCCGTGGACTTTCACTGAACCCGAGCGTCCGTTGACTTTGCCATCTCGTGTATGATGTGGTGCAGAGCGACTGCGGCCAGCATAACTGCTTCTGTCATGCTCAGCAGCAGCGGCGGGGATACTCTTCCTATGTGCCTTGAGTACTTCTCTGTTTGGATCACTGCCCTCCGATTCACTGCTTTCCCTGTACCCGTCCCTGCTTGCCGATGGTTGTCGTCGTGGACGGGAATACCGACGGACCTGTGCATGGGTTGCACTGGTGGTAGTGTTAGAGGTTGTCGTTGGTCGCGGGGCGATGTGTGCTTGCCCGGCCAAGCCGACGCCAGATTGAGACTTGTGTGTGGCATCAACATCGGATGCATTGTCCAAACCATCTTGCTCATTCGACGACTCCAGCGAGTCATAAAACACGGAAGAACGAGACTTTTTGTTCTTGTCTGCTCCGTTTCCGGTACCAGTAGCTGCGTTGCTGGATCTGCGGCGTGTTGTCTGCAATTGCTCACTTCCCCTGCGTGTGGCTGATTGGCGCGGTGAAGTACTGTGTTCAGGACTGTAGCTGGAACTTCCCTGGAGCCAACACAGGCAAGACAGCATCATTACTATCACTGTGCTGTATGCGAGGCAGAGCTACATACACATACATACACATACATACACGCACACAGTCACACATAGATGAAGTGCAGATCTAGGCTGGTGAGCGCCTGCGCATGAGTGAGTGTGCACGGCGTATGCCGCTGAATCTCCACAAAGTGAAGTGCGTAAATGAAAACCAGTGCCAAACTGCTAATTGTAGGTTCGTTGTCATGACTACTACCATATTCTCCGGAGTACAGTGAAACAGCTGTCTAAGACGACCGCCGCTCAAGGGACTTTCAAAGTGTGGTCCCTGTAACCAGGTGGCCTCCATATCCAGTGCCAATTGACTAGAAATAACATCCCTTGGTCCTGGCTGCAGTGGTCTTCTCGTACAGGTGGTCGCCTTAACAGGTCTTACTGTATAAGCTGCACTCACTACGATGGTTAAGTGAATGGTGAAATACAGGGTAGAATTTCGTATTTCATGACCAAATATCTGAGTGAGGCTTATACTCCGGAAAGTGCGGTGTGTGTAATATTTATAAGGTTGAGGCAGTTGGATAATTGCAGCGTGTAATTCCTATCCCGCAGATACTGCATACTTGCGCTACTAAGATCCCCGGGGTTGCCAAGACGGCCAATCTGACTGCGCATGTCTCTTTCATAGGTAATGGCACACCTGAAACAAACAACTGAAACTCAAACTAATAATATCAGCTCACGGGCAGGGTTGCCCTGACCCGTGGCAAAGTGGATTCCATGACGTCACGTAAACATACACATCAACCTCCTTTCTCAGTGCTTCTTACATGCTGTTGTTCCTCTCGCTCACCGTTTCCCCAATACCAATACCAATGCCTTGTCCAAACTTCCTCATGCCCATTATGACTACCAGTGCAGGGAAAGATGATCAGATTACCAATGCCTTCCCCTAACTACCTAGTGCCTATGGTGATTATGAGTGCAGGGAAAGATGATCAGATTACCAATGCCTTCCCCTAACTACCTAGTGCCTATGGTGATTCAGTACGAGTGCACGGAAAGATGATCAGATTACCAATGCCTTCCCCTAACTACCTAGTGCCGATGGTGATTATGAGTGCAGGGAAAGATGATCAGATTACCAATGCCTTCCCCTAACTACCTAGTGCCTATGGTGATTATGAGTGCAGGGAGAGATGATCAGATTACCAATGCCTTCCCCTAACTACCTAGTGCCTATGGTGATTATGAGTGCAGGGAAAGGTGATGGGATTATCTCAACACCGTGACTTGCCTCACTGCTGCATTCGCCTTCTTCAGGTCGGGACAGGAAGATATCGCGGACATTCGCTGGTATAGGCTTCATACCCGGAGTGGCTAGGAGTGGCCATTGCTCCTTGGGTATATCCAGCAAGACTTTCTTGTTCACGCCTTTGGCCAACGATCGTATGTAGTCGGGGTCATCCTTGCGCAGCATCGTGTGCGAGTCCTTGCGCTGCCTCTGCCGCTCTGCAGCGTGCAGCTGGTCAATAGCTTCACGTCGCTTGTCTACATGATGCGTGATAGTGGTAAGGATCACACATACACACAGTCACACACACACACACCCACACACACACCCACACACACACACACACACACACACACACACACACACACACACACACACACACACACACACACACACACACACACACCCACACACACACCACACACACACACACACACACACACACACACACACACACACACACACACACACACACACACACACACACACACACACACACACACACACACACACATACCCACATCCCCACAGTCACGCATGTACATGTACTTCTATCTTCATGATGTACAGTTTTCAACTTTTCAAGGGGTGCCCAACTTCAGGAACTGATGCTACTCAATCTCATCACTGTGGCACATTGGGACAACTATGCATAATGTACAGATCGACAATTGTGGCCCACAGAAACAAAGGGTTCGTTTACAGAATGCAGCTCAACCTGATGATTTTTGGAGTCCCGGAATCAGCCCGTGATGTTTCTGGGTTACTGTATTACGTCCCCATGGCCTGGTGGTGACGATCTTGACATCACCGTTCTGAAGTTTATAACGTGTTCTGATATACAGTCAACTTTGCGTATAACGACACTCGGCGGTGCATCAGAAAAGTGTCCTTATTCGCGAAGTCTCATTATACTGTATTACAGTTGGATGGGACTTTGCTCTGGGCATGGAAATTCTGTCGTTATTCACGAATCGTCGTTATATCTGCAGTCGTTATATCCGCAGTCGTTATATCCGCAGTCGTTATATCCGCAGTCGTTATTAGCGAAGTTGACTGTACTAGACTATTGATGTTCTGTGACTCCAGCTTTCAGATGATACAGAAAACATAATTCTCGAAATCGGTCTATCCTGCATATTGCACAGAAACGTTCAAATGGGTATTGATATTTAGGGGCTATGCCGAACTGTCCAATGCAGAATGTGACGACTGAACAGTCTGGGAATTGTAGAAAGATACCGAGTATGCAACACATCTACAATATCCTGTTTGACGCAGAACAGCAGCGTCATGACCGGTATGTCACGTATAGCACACATAGGCAGTCTGGCATTTTGCTGCAGCAGAGGTTGAAGTCTCATGCTTACCCAATCTCTTCTGGTCTTCTGATCTCTGAATGATACTTGTTGCGTAGTTATTCGCCTCGATGATTGAAATATGACTCCGTCCAAGTTGTGTCAGGATACTTCGCACATGATCAAAGCGAAAGTACAGATCCCGATCGGAATATTTATCCCCCAGCAGCAGTCTGCATCTCTTTCTCTCCTGGAACAAAACATCACACATGCATGTATCCCATACAATGTACATGTAAGAACAGAAGAAAACTTATAACTTTAAGAAGTTATAAGTTTTCTTCTGTTCATAAAACTGGGCATGCTGTCATGACGACTAGAACTTCTCATGACAGCGTGTCCAGTTTTAAATGACCAACTGGACATGTGCACCACCCGCTGTACCCGTGCACTGGACCATGTTTCCGAGATCCCTAGAGCAGATACATCAGGTAAAAGTTACTTTCACTGTACACATACATGTATGACAGTATGTGTATGTCAGGAACAATATGACATGTTGCTAAGCGATAACACCCTTTGACATGTTGCTAAGCGATAACAACCCTTGGCTTATAGGAGCCTGTTTCTGACACGGAGTTCCAATGCATCTAGCTTGTAGCGTGATGAAGTTTGGAAATTTGATGATGGCCCCAAACCTTGACCCCTCCCCGCCCTGCTGCCCGGGGTCCCCCCTGCTTGAACTACAGCCACACGAAGAGCACAGATAGAGAACTCTCATGTATGTTACCATGGTTACTGTCAAGTTCAGACAAAGAGACTCTGAGTGTGGCATGCTGGCATCACTACTGCCTGCTCACTTACCCGCTCACTGCCTGCTCACTTACCCGGTCACTGCCCGCTCACTTACCCGCTCACTTACCCGCTCACTTACCCGCTCACTTACCCGCTCACTTACCCGCTCACTGCCCGCTCACTTACCCGCTCACTTACCCGCTCACTGCCCGCTCACTTACCCTCTCATACATGAAGATAAGATAGTCGACGAACGATCCCTGCATTCTGCGTGTGATGTCCAGCGTTCCCACTAGCATGACACCGGCCTTGAGAAACTGGTTCATCTGTAAGCAGCACATACACATTTAGTCATACCAAGAGTAGAGGGGGTTATGTACTGTTGGTCATACACATACACATGTACACACAGTCACTGGTGCACTAAACAAACATGCAGATGTTTCAAGGCATAGGGTGTGTTACATGCCTGTTGGCATAGGGAAATGCCTCTGAATGCCTCTGAATGCCTCTGAATGCCTCTGAATGCCTCTGAATGCCTCTGAATGCCTCTGAATGCCTCTGAATGCCTCTGAATGCCTCTGAATGCCTCTGAATGCCTCTGAATGCCTCTGAATGCCTCTGAATGCCTCTGAATGCCTCTGAATGCCTCTGAATGCCTCTGAATGCCTCTGAATGCCTCTGAATGCCTCTGAATGCCTCTGAATGCCTCTGAATGCCTCTGAATGCCTCTGAATGCCTCTGAATGCCTCTGAATGCCTCTGAATGCCTCTGAATGCCTCTGAATGCCTCTGAATGCCTCTGAATGCCTCTGAATGCCTCTGAATGCCTCTGAATGCCTCTGAATGCCTCTGAATGCCTCTGAATGCCTCTGAATGCCTCTGAATGCCTCTGAATGCCTCTGAATGCCTCTGAATGCCTCTGAATGCCTCTGAATGCCTCTGAATGCCTCTGAATGCCTCTGAATGCCTCTGAATGCCTCTGAATGCCTCTGAATGCCTCTGAATGCCTCTGAATGCCTCTGAATGCCTCTGAATGCCTCTGAATGCCTCTGAATGCCTCTGAATGCCTCTGAATGCCTCTGAATGCCTCTGAATGCCTCTGAATGCCTCTGAATGCCTCTGAATGCCTCTGAATGCCTCTGAATGCCTCTGAATGCCTCTGAATGCCTCTGAATGCCTCTGAATGCCTCTGAATGCCTCTGAATGCCTCTGAATGCCTCTGAATGCCTCTGAATGCCTCTGAATGCCTCTGAATGCCTCTGAATGCCTCTGAATGCCTCTGAATGCCTCTGAATGCCTCTGAATGCCTCTGAATGCCTCTGAATGCCTCTGAATGCCTCTGAATGCCTCTGAATGCCTCTGAATGCCTCTGAATGCCTCTGAATGCCTCTGAATGCCTCTGAATGCCTCTGAATGCCTCTGAATGCCTCTGAATGCCTCTGAATGCCTCTGAATGCCTCTGAATGCCTCTGAATGCCTCTGAATGCCTCTGAATGCCTCTGAATGCCTCTGAATGCCTCTGAATGCCTCTGAATGCCTCTGAATGCCTCTGAATGCCTCTGAATGCCTCTGAATGCCTCTGAATGCCTCTGAATGCCTCTGAATGCCTCTGAATGCCTCTGAATGCCTCTGAATGCCTCTGAATGCCTCTGAATGCCTCTGAATGCCTCTGAATGCCTCTGAATGCCTCTGAATGCCTCTGAATGCCTCTGAATGCCTCTGAATGCCTCTGAATGCCTCTGAATGCCTCTGAATGCCTCTGAATGCCTCTGAATGCCTCTGAATGCCTCTGAATGCCTCTGAATGCCTCTGAATGCCTCTGAATGCCTCTGAATGCCTCTGAATGCCTCTGAATGCCTCTGAATGCCTCTGAATGCCTCTGAATGCCTCTGAATGCCTCTGAATGCCTCTGAATGCCTCTGAATGCCTCTGAATGCCTCTGAATGCCTCTGAATGCCTCTGAATGCCTCTGAATGCCTCTGAATGCCTCTGAATGCCTCTGAATGCCTCTGAATGCCTCTGAATGCCTCTGAATGCCTCTGAATGCCTCTGAATGCCTCTGAATGCCTCTGAATGCCTCTGAATGCCTCTGAATGCCTCTGAATGCCTCTGAATGCCTCTGAATGCCTCTGAATGCCTCTGAATGCCTCTGAATGCCTCTGAATGCCTCTGAATGCCTCTGAATGCCTCTGAATGCCTCTGAATGCCTCTGAATGCCTCTGAATGCCTCTGAATGCCTCTGAATGCCTCTGAATGCCTCTGAATGCCTCTGAATGCCTCTGAATGCCTCTGAATGCCTCTGAATGCCTCTGAATGCCTCTGAATGCCTCTGAATGCCTCTGAATGCCTCTGAATGCCTCTGAATGCCTCTGAATGCCTCTGAATGCCTCTGAATGCCTCTGAATGCCTCTGAATGCCTCTGAATGCCTCTGAATGCCTCTGAATGCCTCTGAATGCCTCTGAATGCCTCTGAATGCCTCTGAATGCCTCTGAATGCCTCTGAATGCCTCTGAATGCCTCTGAATGCCTCTGAATGCCTCTGAATGCCTCTGAATGCCTCTGAATGCCTCTGAATGCCTCTGAATGCCTCTGAATGCCTCTGAATGCCTCTGAATGCCTCTGAATGCCTCTGAATGCCTCTGAATGCCTCTGAATGCCTCTGAATGCCTCTGAATGCCTCTGAATGCCTCTGAATGCCTCTGAATGCCTCTGAATGCCTCTGAATGCCTCTGAATGCCTCTGAATGCCTCTGAATGCCTCTGAATGCCTCTGAATGCCTCTGAATGCCTCTGAATGCCTCTGAATGCCTCTGAATGCCTCTGAATGCCTCTGAATGCCTCTGAATGCCTCTGAATGCCTCTGAATGCCTCTGAATGCCTCTGAATGCCTCTGAATGCCTCTGAATGCCTCTGAATGCCTCTGAATGCCTCTGAATGCCTCTGAATGCCTCTGAATGCCTCTGAATGCCTCTGAATGCCTCTGAATGCCTCTGAATGCCTCTGAATGCCTCTGAATGCCTCTGAATGCCTCTGAATGCCTCTGAATGCCTCTGAATGCCTCTGAATGCCTCTGAATGCCTCTGAATGCCTCTGAATGCCTCTGAATGCCTCTGAATGCCTCTGAATGCCTCTGAATGCCTCTGAATGCCTCTGAATGCCTCTGAATGCCTCTGAATGCCTCTGAATGCCTCTGAATGCCTCTGAATGCCTCTGAATGCCTCTGAATGCCTCTGAATGCCTCTGAATGCCTCTGAATGCCTCTGAATGCCTCTGAATGCCTCTGAATGCCTCTGAATGCCTCTGAATGCCTCTGAATGCCTCTGAATGCCTCTGATCTGATAACTATGTTCACTGCCACTATGGTTACATGTCTGGACCACTGCTGAGGAGGACAACAGGCAACATGGTTCCTGTAAGTGTGCAGTGTGTGCATTGTGCAATATGCAGCATGCAGTGTGCAGTATCATGCAGTATGCAGTATGCAGTATGCAGTATGCAACACACACTGCATTGCACACAAGACTGTTGCCGGGCATTACCACTTTGTCCACTTGGCTGTTAGAGCGTGTTCTGAGGCTGGGTCCGGTCATCAGTTGACAGATGGCACTGCAGATACCGGTGCCGAGTCGAAGGTTAGGTAAAGCACCGCCTTCCAGGAGAGCAAATGCAATCTACACACAGGAACAGCAGAAGAGGCAGCAACGGCAACAGCAGCAACAGCAACAACAGAGTGACGCCATAAAGACTGGGTTCCACTACTGCACTAGCTCGAGCCGCGGTCACTATGGTAATGATGACGTTTCAAGCCGCGGATGACGTGCAGCGGAGTGGCAGAGTCGCATGCAGTGGAACCCGGCCCTAAGCATGGCTAACGGTGGTAGCTGCCACACCAGATCTACAACAAATTATAGAATCTAAAATCGATGCCCTGAAGTGGGGTTTCTGCCTTCCAAGGCTTCCAAATGCCGCAATTGTAGCTTCATTGACAGCCCCGCCAGGGCTCCAGTACAGTACAAAAACCTAAGTATTGGAGAGTATTTTGTCATTCTGCACAGACCTTCAAAGTACATGACTGTATACCGTTAGTGGGCCTTACCCCATCATTGCCTTACCCCATCATTGCCTTACCCCATCATTGCCTTACCCCATCATTGCCTTACCCCATCATTGCCTTACCCCATCATTGCCTTACCCCATCATTGCCTTACCCCATCATTGCCTTACCCCATCATTGCCTTACCCCATCATTGCCTTACCCCATCATTGCCTTACCCCATCATTGCCTTACCCCGGAGTCATTGCCTTACCCCGGAGTCATTGCCTTACCCCGGAGTCATTGCCTTACCCCGGAGTCATTGCCTTACCCCGGAGTCATTGCCTTACCCCGGAGTCATTGCCTTACCCCGGAGTCATTGCCTTACCCCGGAGTCATTGCCTTACCCCGGAGTCATTGCCTTACCCCGGAGTCATTGCCTTACCCATCATTGCCTTACCCCATCATTGCCTTACCCCATCATTGCCTTACCCCATCATTGCCTTACCCCATCATTGCCTTCCCCATCATTGCCTTACCCCATCATTGCCTTACCCCATCATTGCCTTACCCCATCATTGCCTTACCCCATCATTGCCTTACCCCATCATTGCCTTACCCCATCATTGCCTTACCCCATCATTGCCTTACCCCATCATTGCCTTACCCCATCATTGCCTTACCCCGGAGTCATTGCCTTACCCCATCATTGCCTTACCCCATCATTGCCTTACCCCATCATTGCCTTACCCCGGAGTCATTGCCTTACCCCGGAGTCATTGCCTTACCCCGGAGTCATTGCCTTACCCCGGAGTCATTGCCTTACCCCGGAGTCATTGCCTTACCCCGGAGTCATTGCCTTACCCCGGAGTCATTGCCTTACCCATCATTGCCTTACCCCATCATTGCCTTACCCCATCATTGCCTTACCCCATCATTGCCTTACCCCATCATTGCCTTCCCCATCATTGCCTTACCCCATCATTGCCTTACCCCATCATTGCCTTACCCCATCATTGCCTTACCCCATCATTGCCTTACCCCATCATTGCCTTACCCCATCATTGCCTTACCCCATCATTGCCTTACCCCATCATTGCCGCGGTTCAGAGCCAGCGAGAGAGGTGAATGTCCCGAATCAGTTAGCGCGTCTGGACAGGCACCGTGCTTTAGCAGGTCCTTCACCATCTTTAGAGCGTACTGGACCACCAGATGGATAAGGAGCGAGAGCGATTGAGAACGGGAAAGAGAGAGAGAGAAAGAGAGAGAGGGAGAGAGAGAGAGAGAGAGAGAGAGAGAGAGAGAGAGAGAGAGAGAGAGAGAGAGAGAGAGAGAGAGAGAGAGAGAGAGAGAGAGAGGGAGAGAGTGAGACAGGGAAAGAGAGAGAGAGAGGGAGAGAGAGAGAGAGAGAGAGTGAGAGAGAGAGTGAAGAGAGTACATTTGTGCAACCAAATACCGAAAGGAACTTCACACGATGGGCTAGTACCAAAGCCTATCCTTGCTCCACATCTCACTCGAGGCTTCTAGGATTCTTGTTACCGCCCGGCGTCCATACATCCATGCAGCTTGGTACACTATACTGCCAGTGAGTGCATGACTTGAAAGCCAGATTCAACATGGATTCAACGATACCGTTACAAGAACTCTCCATAGCACAGAATGGCTTATGACCAAGAGTCACATAACCCTTATCACATCAGTAGCGTCACAAGGCAATGGGGAGTGGTGTCTGTACCGGTATGACCTGGGTCCCCCTCCCTGAAAAAAAACGATTTTTCGGCTAACAGGGCACGTTTCGGCGCTCTACAGGCACTCTGGGTGGACCGTACTGGACGAAAAGTGGTACGACCATGGTCTTGCTGGTCATACCGTGAGTGACACCCCTGCACATGATACCTATTCAGAGCTGCCGGAGCCGGTTCGGTTGATCAGGTTATCACTGGACCAACATTTTAACAACCAACACATGTCTAATACTATGGAGGTCATGTGTACCCGCCATATCATACACAAACTGGCATGTGTACCCACCATATCATAAACAGTATGAAAGGCACTGAAACTACCGGACCAATAAAAAACTGCTTCCAGTGATCCTGCTATTGGTATCAGATATGAAGCCGAACACTTACTGGCCACTTATTCCTGTGTCGGTGAGCACATGCTAGATGCAGCGGTGTCCAACCGCGTGGTACTGCCATCAGTGCAGTGTCCATTGGCATACGCCGCTCGCTGACCTTCTCTATGTCACTCCAATCACAAGGGTCCAGCACAGCCACATGAACATGATCTACTGAAGCGTTGTGTAACTTTCTCATCCGTGCTTCCGCCTGTTTGTCCGTCTCTCTCCTGCAGATAGGGCTGTACTCGGTTTTGCAGTTTGGGTCATACCCGGACTGCAGCAGGTTCCAGAGGATATTGCAGCCAAATGCTGTGTTCATATTGGCTGCGTAGTGCATGGCGGTGATGTCACCATTCTGTGCACAGCGAGATACGCATGTGTGTACACGTGCATACACACACGCACACACACATGCACGCATGCATGCATGCACACAGACCGACAGACACACCTACACATAGAGTTGTATTTGCATTTTTCACTGCTACCAATTTACTCACACTGTCTCTTCAGAAAGACGACGGAGAGAAACAGCTGGAAGAAAATGACTCGCCTAGCTGTTGGGTCAGCCAATGTCCTACATCCACAACTCCCCCTCTGGGTAATAGCCACTGACTATAGAGGGGAACATCTAGATATACACCGGGAAAAGTACAGTTCTGACCAGAGAAATGCGACCTCATGAATAACCTAGTACCATGCTCAAGTGTGCAGAGTGCCTGTGTGGTGTGTGTGTGTGTGTGTGTGTGGTGTGTGTGTGTGTGTGGTGTGTGTGTGTGTGTGTGTGTGTGTGTGTGTGTGGTGTGTGTGTGTGTGTGTGTATGTTTGTGTGGTGCTAGGGTCGAGGAGCCCCCAGTGTTACGATATTCACGAGGCTGGATTTCTCTAGTAAGGACTGCACTTGAAATGCTCTATATTAAAACTATAATTAATTATAGCAATGCAAATCTTCCATGAGTGTAGTTGTTGCCTTTGGGTTATGCACACCATATGTACCCACAGGTCCTTCCCTGTTGCTTACGTCAGGAGACAACTGCGAATCACAATCAGCTCCCTTTGCCACCACCAGTCGCACAATGGCCGTGTCTTCAGACTTGATAGCACACATCACAACAGGTTCCGGCTGCTGGACAAGGGTCACGTCTGCGTTACGCAACAGCAGCAAGTCAACGCACCACTTCAACCTCTGCTTTTGACTGTCAGCACCACCGTCAACGTGATCATGAAGAGAGGACGAGGAGGAGAGAAACAGAGCCATGAGTATGTCAATGCAATCAAATAGTCACATGTGTCCCTATCTATAATATCTGAGATTAGAGATGCAGCACAACGATTCAGGTTTCAGGGGCGTACGCAGGGTTCTTCAGAGGGGGGGGGGGGGGTACATCGGCATGAATGTAACCGTGCGGTGGGTAGATATCACGATATCGGTACTCTATACGTATGCTATGCAGGTGCAGTGCGAGGCTAGAATCTGTGGGGGGGGGGACATCAACACCCCTTGAACCCCCCCCCCCCCCCCGGGTATTCCCCTGGGTTTGTGAAGTGTGTAATGCAGTCTAAGAATACTGTACATGTGTGCACTGTCTGTACATGCAGAGAAACATGGCGATACAGGAGTAAGTACTGCCCCCCCCCCCCCCCCCCCTCTCCATTCAATCCTTCACTCTGCCGTTCATGCTGTTGGTGGATTTCAAGCCCCCTGTGACAAATACACATACACATGCTCAGTGCAGACCCAGCACTGGCTCAAACAGGCAGAGATTCTGCGTGTGTGCCCCCGACACATACATGTATAGGAATGCCATGCTGTATAGGCTAGTTAAGCGAGCAACACACCGCCTCGCACATTACCTGCCAGCAAACTCTCTCGGAACTGTCCTTGAGCTGCATACCAGTCTGAGGTATTTATCGCCGGGTGACTTGGTCGGCAGGTGATCATCACTATCGCTTTCCAATGCCCAACGATCCCAGCTGGGTATACGACGACGGGGATTGTGTCTTTTCACATCGTCAACGGTGATCTTCCGGGGGGCCAGCTCAACCTTCTTTGGCACCTTCTTCTCCTCAACGGGGTCCTTCCTACTCTTCTTATACGACTTTTTAACCTTACTAGCTCTAAGCGCTTTACTGGGCTTAGCAGGTTTCGGTGGCTGCGTCTCCCGTTCTAGCTTCTGTTCGCTTTTCCTTGCATACTCCTCCTCCATGATTTGTTTCTCCTTGGCTTCGGCCATCTTCTTTCGGACAGTGTCTGGGGATTTCCCCATCAGTCGCGCGTATCCCGGTAAGTGCACCAGAGCCAGCTCATCGGCATTGATGATGTAGTCGGTCGTGTCCCAGGAATACGGCTCTCCCGTGTCCGATTTGTAGGCCGGTATCTCGCCGCGGCTCGTATCTATGGCGATGGACTTGTCATTGGGGATAGAGGACGGAGGTCGTCGGAATCCATTACCACCCAGCGCATGGGGTATGTATCTCAACGGGGAATCCCCGTCCATGCCCAGTGGCGATCCGCGTGTCACAAACCCGTTCAGGCACGTCATGACGTGAAACGTGGCAGAAAACGGGGTCATATCGGCAAGAGTTACCCGGTTGACCTTTGCTCCTTTCAGCAGCAGAGTTTGCACACAGTGTAGATGACCGCGTACCTGCTTACAGGAACAGACACGCCCACACACGCGTGCACCCACACACAGAAACAAGCAGAGACATAAACACAGACACAAACACACAAGCACATGCCCACACACACACACAGCACCACATGAGAGGTTTTCTACAAACGTGTTGCATTTCGCTAATGAGTGACTATGAGGCAAAGGTACCTCTGTCAGTACTTGCATTGAAGATTAATGAAGTAACCAATAGAGGCATACGGTATACATGATCATGGTACATAATGTGACGGTGTGTGTTGTATTGCTCCTAGGGAAAGGATAAATTGACGTACTTCCGGTGACCGGTGGCTATGATGTAATTATTGGTTGTGACTTACGCTAGCAAGGAATAGTGCGGCATGGTTGTGACGATCAATGACTTCCGCACAAACCAGCCGATAATCAAGCCACTTCTGTAGCTGAACTCCGAATCCATTCCACGCAGAGAGCAGGAAGTCAACAGCAGCCATCACCAATGGACCAGGCGGTGCAGGGCGACCGTGCTCCAGTACAAAGCCGTCCACAACCAAGCGTGCCGGAGAGTCGATGAAGAACTTGAAGCGCTCAGGACGGAGGCGCAGTTCTTTCTTGGCATCGTCCGTGCCTGGAATTTTACCACGCCGTTTACACTCGGGTTGGACCGCAGTGTCAAATTTAAATTTTTTCCATCTGTATCGATCCCCCATCTTCATGCGCCACACTTCTTTAACATAATCGGCTGGTGACCATTGCCTGCTGATGTCCCAATAGTGATGTGAGTCCACTGAGCCGTTCTCGGCCCGATACCAACGCTCTCCGGCCACGTCTATATCGCCGGCTGACGCCTGTCGATTCCGCTGGGCATTAATCTTATTGCGAAGCTCGTGCAGGTTGTCTGGATTCGTAATCCCTTCCAATGGGTCCTTATCGTAGGGCTTATACTTCAGGCAGTAGTTAGAATGCGTTGGGCATATTTCAATGGCTGTTGCTATGTCTCCAAATCGTTCTCGGAGCATATCCACTACCAGGATGGACGTCAGCTGTTGCGGCTGAAACTTTTCAAACACGGTCGTCATCTCCTCAATCATCTTGTCGTTCGTTGTGATGTCATCGAGGTGACAGCCGGTGCACTTTCTACCTTTCATGTTGGCCAGTGGTAGATGGATAAGCTGTGTGGCCACTGGGAACTCTAGTTCTTCCAGCATGTCGCCTTGCCACACACCGGCATCCTGCCGTCCAGTCCCGTATGTACCTACTCCAGGTCCCATTGCTTGGTCACGTGTGAACTCTCCCTGACACAGGCACATGCAACAGCAGCAGCACCCGTAGCAGCAGAAACAAGAGAAAGACGTGAGAGAGAGGTAGATATATAGATAGTTAGAAAGAGAGAGAGAGCTAGATAGATAGATAGAGAGATAGATAGATAGATAGATAGATAGAGAGAGAGAGAGAGAGAGAGAGAGAGAGAGAGAGAGAGAGGGAGGGAGGAGGAGATGGATAGATAGATAGATAGATAGATAGATAGATAGACAGATAGATAGATCATAAGATAGATAGATAGATAGAGAGAGAGACAGCAATAACAGTTACAATGGTACAATACCCACCGATTATCTCAGTTACCGTCAAGTTTTTCCAGTTTTAGAACTGAATACTTGGCGGAGGGGGAGGGGGACTCTGCTGCACTCTATCTGCTGTTCGCCTACCTGGAAGAGATGTGGTCGATTGTGATCCCAGCGAACTCCCCTGCCAGTTCTACTCTTGTCGTGGTACTGTCCAAGGAAAGCCGTGTTTGTGTCCACCCACACATACATACCGACACCTGTGCGCCTGCCCTTCTTATACTGGCCCAAGAAAATCTGTCGGAAGAACACACAGAAAAGAGCGGAGAGATTTGACAGTGATTTCTACATACTGGTATAATTATGACTGTTGCTATGGAGCACCCTGTAGTGTAGTGTGACACCCTGTAGTGCAGTGCAGGGCAGTGCTATACCCTGCACTGCAGTGCAGTACCGTGCAGTGCAGTATAGCACTGAAAGCAATGGTTTCAGAAGTCAATAAAAAACCGACTTCCGGGTCAAATTGGATCCAACCTGATCACGACAAAGTACAGAGGAACTCACTTACACAGCGTAGTACCGTTTGATTTAGCATCAAGCCTTTGTGTTTTATCTCACAATCTCCTGTTGAGTTCAGAACTCTACCGGAGGATGCACCCAGTGTGCTGACCGTGCTCAACATCGCGGCGGAGGCAGAGCGTAATACACGGAACAACAAGCAAGGCAAGCAAGGCCTGTTTGTCGCTACTTTTAAGTCTACCCTCTTTAACAAGTTTCATTCTTTCGCAATCATCAGGCAACAAGTTCAGAACTCTGTATAATGTTGGCCAGCTGCATGTACATCAGTGGGGTGCAATCACATGCATGTCACAGTTCTAGCCAGGTTAGAAAGTAGGGGGGGGGGGGGGGGGGGGGGGGGGGCACAGAGGAAACAGTCACCCCGTAACCCATTTTTCCATTTTCCGAAATTGTCTTGCCACCTAAAATGCAAAGTAACTCGACTTCAGCCCAGAAAAGTGTGCCTTTAAGAACAGTCTGTTACCGACTATCGACTGCATTTTCATTATTGAACGGCCTGGAAAAAAGCACAATAATCGGCAAATGGGCAGGGGCGCCACTTTTTCACATGGGGGGGGGGGGGGGCTCAATCAGAGTAGGGTGGGGGCTGCACACCCTACCCTCTTTTGGCTAGCACCCTGCAGTATGGTAATCTTTACTATACTTTAACACTCACATCTCCACGGTCTGTGATATCCAGGCCAGGCCCGTCCCGTGTATCACCGACCATCACACCTTCAAAGTAGCTGTGTGTTGCTTGGCCACGCGTCACCCTTAGCTCATGATCCAGCTTGAGCGTGAACCTCTGCTTGTAGTTCCTCTCAAACAGGTCGTGTGCCCACTGTCGCAGTCCCTTGCCATTTTGGAAAGGGGCAAGCGACCCACCGCCGAACAGTTCCCTGTGGACCTCGGGCTCGCCTTCCCTCGCCGGCCATGGGTGATAATGGCCCTCTCTTGGTGCTGTTGTCAGTACATCCCTGCTGGTATTGTGGGGCTTGGACGATGATGCCGTCCTCTCTAACTGACCCCGACTGGCCCGACCGGCCGCAGTGTGCTGCAACGCCGTCTTCGTCTCCATGCTTACTTGTGGCTCTGCGTATATACCGGCACTTCTCGAAGTAGGAGAAGAAGAAGTCAGTGTTGGTGACCATCCACTCAGTCCACTGTGGCCAGCGATACTCTCCTCTGCCCTGTCATGCATGTCATTAATTTGTTGGGTTTCCGATGCTCCGTCGAATGTATGCACCTCTGGTGTCAGCCTGAATCGGACATGTCGCGGCTCTCTCGCCGGCTGTCCGATGCTGGAGCTGGTGGCTGTGCCGGGTTTCCTCCGCTCCAGTACGACTTTGCCAGTGCTAGGGCGGACGGGAGCGCTGACGAAGCGGTGCCTGTTCACCGCCTCGGCATCTCTCGGCTTTTTGATAATAGGCTGCGGTTGTTGAGGCTCAGGTGGTGCCATTCGCTCTTCCTCCGACCAGCCAAAGTCGTTTGCTGTGGGTTTGTGTTGATACGGTGTTGGCGGCCTATATGCAACTGGCCTCCTCTGTGCATGCTCGCCTTCCCCGGGTAGTGGGTCCAAGCCAAGCGACGCGAGTGTCTCAGCATGGCGTGGATACGTTACTGTCACCCCGTGGTGATCGTCTGGGATGGGCGGACGACCCCGAAAGTCCACATCTCCTTCGTGGGATTTCTTGCACTCCAGTAGGTGATTGGTGAATGCATGATCACCGGTCCGCTGCCGCAGCCACTTCGCCGATTCAGCATACGCATTGGGGTAGGGATATTGTCTATGCTCCGACGGTGGACCGTTAGCCATGGCACACGTACTAAGAAGCCGAGGCGCCTCTCGAGCAGGGTTTGCGGTCTTCCTGTGCTTCTCCGCTGGCGCTGGAATGTCAGAGTTGTTGTGAGTTGGAGCGGCTTTCGATGCCGTCTCTTTCCTTTTCGGTTTCGGTGGACTGGCTAGTTGATTATTTTGGCCTGAAGTAAATGTTGGCGATGTCCAACGCGGTTCGTCTCCAAATCTCACAGCACGCCGTCGTAATCGATTGTTCTCGTGACCTGGATACGGAGAGGCTTGAGGACGAACTCGATAATGTATTCGCTCTTCTTCAGCCGTGCTGAGCTCAGCTAGAAAGTTATTCGCATCAGAATCAAAGTTGAAAATATCAATTATTGTCTCCTTCACACCTTCTTCGGTTTGAACTGTGCGGGCCGGACGCAGTGAGCCTCGGCATCGTCGCTACTTTCTCATCCACATCATCACGATCAGCATCACACGCCATCATGCGTGCATCCTGATTGCTGTATACATCATGTTCAACGACGTATACGCGTAACAAGTATTAGGCTTACTGTTCACTATGATATCCGTGCCACTGCCAGCATAACCAGTACATGCAGTGGCCATCATGCGTGCAGTGGCGCTACGCGTGGTAACTGGTATCGCATTCTCACTCCTCATGCTCAGCGCAGAGCTAGTCACCTGGCCACGCAGTCCGTGCAGTTACCATGTTACTACTACACTGAGTTAGTTAGTTTAGCTTGGTGGTTTGGTGAGAGGATATACGACCTGCTACATGACCAACGTAGATTCTACGTGTACATGTATAATAATAATATTCGCGGGATCCGCGTTAGCATCACTTGAATGTTCAGAAACACACAAGCTATAGCCTACATGTATACGACGTGTAATGTACAGTGTATCAGTATGTAGGAAGAAGAAAAGCTGAATCTACATTTCCACACGATGACTAGTCTGTAGTACTGTACTGTAGTACTGTAGTACTGTAGTACTGTAGACGTGTAGTACTGTAGTACTGACCTGTGACTGGTGTAACTACTGTACTGGTAACCATGGTAACTGACCTGTACAGACTACAGACAAGTCTACCTCTAACAAGTCTAGCACTACACATAACTTCATAAGTCATCAGTGGATAATGGCAAGAAGGTACATGTACAAGAGAACAGCTAGAGAGAAAAAGGAAAACCAAAGAGGAGTCCAGATGGAAAAAGGAAAACCAAAGAGGAGTCCAGATGGAAAAAGGAAAACCAAAGAGGAGTCCAGATGGAAAAAGGAAAAGCCTAGGAAAGATCAGAACATTGAAAGTCACAGACAGAAGAACGAGCAGTTGCGGTTTCGTAACTCTGGTGAACATTGAAAGTCAAGCACTTGATAGTATTCGTCTGTCCCTGGGATCATAATCATCATGCGCTGGTGGGGGTCAGTTGGAGAATTTGGAGCTCTGGAGGTGCTGGTGACTGCTTGATTTGTTTGGAGGCTGGAGAAGAAGGAGACCTTGATGAGAACACTACTGCTGTTGTTATACCATGTTGTGTTGTGGTTTGTTCTTTTTTCCTTTGGTTTCTTTGGTTTCTGTTCATATTTTGTGTTAGCTGATTTTCACCACTAAGACAAGTCTTGTCTTTCTGGAGTCAGGTTCTGCGCGCAGTAGGCCTTGACAGATTATGCTAGCACAATTTTTCGCATAATTCCTACCAAAATCGAATAATCGCATAATTCGATGCAAACTGCATACGAATCGCATAAAATTGGAATAATCCGCCTGTTCGCATCAAATTAATTATTTCATGCAGTTGTACATGTTCTACAAGTACAAGTACAAGTAGACGCACCAGGAAGTCGTAGGTTTACGACTCCCTTGAGAGGGTAATCCTGAAACTGAGTAAAGATTATTATTATTAGAACATGTCCAGTCCACTACAATCAGTGACCAGGGTGACGGTCGTAGCTAGGTCGGACGGTGCGTTGATCCCGTTGAACTTTTGCTACTACAGTACAACGCCCTCTACAAAAATATTCGCCTTTTATTTTGCACGGAACCATTATACATGTACATTAGCAGCATATGTGAGCATAATGCGGCATAATATGATAACTTTTAGCATAAAAATAGCATAATTCTGCAATTTTTTCAGCAATGCGAAAAGCATAATTTCACGAAAATATTAGCATAATCTGTCAAGGCCTAGCGCAGACCAGACCAGACCGCAAACCAGGCCGCTAGCTAGGCGGGGCTACATGGACTGATGTAGAGCCTAGACTAGAGCTAGACTAGGCTAGAGCCAGTACCATGACTGGCATGAGTACTGGCAGTAGAGGCTGTACAATCATGCTGTATCCATGGCATGTAATCATGGTAATGGATGGCATGGTGTGACTGTCAGTGTCACCAGGTCACACTCACTCAGACTCACTGTCACAGTGTCACTGTCAGTGCATGCAGGACCGCGCTACATAGTGCCGTGCGTGGTGCATGATTGAGCCTTGCACTTGCAGGCGCTAAATGAACTGAAAGACCGCGAAGACAGTAGTTCTCATGGTCAAGTCATTTCGTTGGGAAACGATTTTGAAACAGTCGATTCTCCCAGTCTTGGTTCTACTTCTAGTCGAGCAGGTCAAGGAAAACTAGCCCTTTGCTCACAGTTCTGGCAGTGTCCACCAACGCAGAAAATCAGAAGGTAAGGATGGTAGCGGTGCCACCGACCGTCTGCAGCGCTAGCGGAGCGTTTTCTTGCTCTTCATTCATCGCGTCGCATGAAAAATAAAATCTTTTCAAGCTTTTGATGGTGTATTATGCCTTCTGCAAGCAATGAAGTGGCCAATAAATCCTTGTCCCTCGTCTTCTGCACTGCCTGCTGCTCCAGTTGGAATTGAGGGTAGCGCACATTGCATGCTACCCACGGTACATTTTAAGTTTTTGCTGGCTGCATGACTGAGTGAGTGACCATATCAGTGGATGGGCATAACAATTTCATAAGCAGGCGAGTGACCGCTGCTCTCTCCCCTCTTCTGTGTGTGCGCGTGCGCGCGCGCGCGTGTGCGTGTGTGTGTCTCTCTCTCTCCCTCCCTCAACTTGTCTGTCTTTAGAAATGTAGCTTACTCACTCCCTCCCTCTCGCCCATTCTCTTTCTCTCACCTTACCACAGACAGCCTTACAGCAAGTATACTTCAAGTACAGACAGCAAGGCTGTGCTTGCGCGTAGCAAGAAACTGACCAACTGACTGGCTGACGTCATTCCGGTTATTTGACCCACTGGCCGTCAGGTTGTAAACTCACCAACGACACACCTGCTGAGTGTTGTATTGCACCCAATGTTAACTATCCCATAGTGTAGTGCAGTTCACATTGCAGCAGTAGCAGCATCCTCCTCCTCCTTATCCTCATCATCATCCTCATCATCATCCTCATCAACAGCAGCAGGCAGTAAAGGGCAAGCAATGAAGCTAAAGAAGTTCTTACTGCGCTACTACCCGCCAGGTAACCCGTTAGGTGCTAGCTGCAGTCTGCAGTACTGCCGGGTGCTGAGGAACTGGGGCGGGTGGGAGTGGGGGGGGGGGGGGGGGGGGGGGGGGGTTGGGGTGGGTGGGGGGTCAGCCTACTCGTAGCCTATACTGTTCTTATTTTCATGTGTTACAGTCTATTCACAGTTGAGTCACTGGTATGCCTGTGATTTGTGAGATTCCAGGCTGCGCGTTCCTCGGTGCTCTGTTCTTCGGCGCCCGGTAGCCCCCGTCTGAGCAGATTTTGTAATGCCAGTGCAGTGTATCAGCAAACCAGGTGTCCATAATTATGATGCTCGCACTGCTGCTGAATTACTTTTTACTAGGGCTGCAACGGGTAGGGGTTTGGTCGGGTAACAGGTCCGGGTATTTTTATCCGGGTGGCCCGGGTACCCTATCGAGTATTTTTGACATAGTTTGTACAGTGAGTGTGCACTTGCACTACATAGAAAGTGTACAGTAAGCACGTACCCGTGCCTTTTAGTTTTACATGCACCGTTGCAAAAACACCGTACTCCAACTCTCCGGTTGGGTTCTCAGCACCAAACAGCTACCCGAATACCCGCTGCAATTACGGGTAGCACGGGTACCCTTCTACTTGATGACACCCCTACTTTTACAACTTGCTCTGGGGTGCCGGGTTGGATGCATTTTTGAATCTGTCACATGATGTGCGTGTACGTGTATGTACATTAGGCAGTACAGCCTTGCAGAGCAGTGATTCAGTACAGTCATGTGTGTGTGTGTGTGTGTGTAATACTGTGTACCCTTGATGTAGGTATCATCTTGGAATTTGAATCTCGTGGGTTGGTGAAGCAACGCTCAATTGATCTTCTGTATCTTTCTCCAGAGTGAGTTCCACCAATTCTTGGATGACAATCACTACTAGGACCCTGGACTCTTCACACCAGTGCCTGTACTCAGTCTCAAAAGAGTCAACGCCCGTTACACACTAGAAGTAGCCTGGTTGCCCAAAGTCCATCAATACCTATATCACAGTGTTCACACACCTTTTGTCGAATTGCTCAAAAACTGCCAACCTTACCCTGCCAGTGAGACAAATTGAAATTATAGTACCCAAGCTGATGATCCCCAATTTGGAATTTCTGCATGATGCGTGGTCCACGCAACAGGCAATCGTGAACATGTCCTTGCCCTGCTGCCGGAGCGCGAGCACGCTCAGACCAGGGATACCTTACGTGAGCATGTGTAAATCAGCCTTGCCCCAAGGGAGACTGTAACAGGCAGCCAGGTAGGAAATCCCCATTTTGTTTAGCATTGAAGTCACCCTTGTTGCGCACATAAAACACACACACACACACCACAGGCGTTTTCCATTGCTAATACAATTTTTTCTGTACTCTTTATATTTTGTGTGTGTGTGTGTGTGTGTCTGTGTGTGTGTGTGTGTCTGTCTGTCTGTGTGTGTGTGTGTGTGTGTGTGTGTGTGTGTGTGTGTGTGTGTGTCTGTGTCTGTGTCTGTGTCTGTTTGACCAGAGACAATGTGGACGTATTACTTAAAGCAATTTCCCAACAGGAGCCTCTCATCACTCCATCCAGATATGAACAAGTCAAGCATCTTATTACCAGTATCCTTGTAGTGCTGCTTTACCGGATTGCTGGGAATGGGCTCAGCTAGTCTTGGTGTACTGCAGGGTGGGGCTGCTGGGGCTCAGTTGGTCTTGGTGTATTGCTGGGTGGGATTTGCTGTGACTGTGCTGTGTTGGCGATGGAGAGCCGCTGGATGGGATTACCGGGACTGTCTCCAGTGGGCCCCGTGTCCGACTAGGTCTTGGTATTTGTATGCGCAGAGCTTTAGGGTATTATGGGTATTATGTGGATGATAAATCTGTTGACAGATGCGTCGACTCTGCTCCTGTCTAACAGGTTCAGGGAAGATGCGAGCTGTGTTTATTATTATTAATTTATTATTATTAAATAGAGGGAGCCGTCGTGATGATTCCAATGAGAACTCTTGCAAGGCTCCTTGACAATGTGTTCACTACCACCGCTTGCAGTTCTGCAGCTTCGGTTGGTGGAAAATGATGACAAAATGTATCACCTGACCAAGGTAAGTGTAACCAGACTATAGCAGTACAGTACCGTATTTCCCCGATTATAAGTCGCACCTTTTTACACTAAAATTCAGGGTAAAACAGGGGGTGTGACTTACAATCGAGCGTGACTTACTACTGAAGTGAATATATCGCAACAACATTGCTCAAACCTGAAAATGGGGGTGCGACTTATAATCGGGGAAATACGGTACTCACTTGTATGCCGTGTCACTGCGCTGCTTGCATGTGTGGTGGCTGGCTAAGGGCATCCAGCATGCATGCCATGTCTTTGTGTTGATTGCTATCCACTCAAAAACTGCGTCTGCTACTCTATAGGCGGGTAGGCAGGGAGACTAGTTGGGATACAAGTATGGATGGAGTATTGTATAATGTGTGTATAAATACTGTGAGGGAATGTCGTAGTACTTGTAGTAAATAGTAAGTTGCATCAATGGATCAGGATGACTTTAGAATATTGTGTGATCTCCGTAGAGGCATACCTTCCAACCATCCCGATTTGGTCGGGACCACCCCGTTATCGCATGGTGGTACTAGGCACCCAAAGGTGCATTTGTGGCATGCCTCATCTACACACATTTTCATACCTAGGATACCTAGGTATGTCATTGTCCCGATGTCAGGTTTGCAAAGGTTGGCACTTATGTTGAGGGTATGTTATCACATCATCAGTTGAGTTGCGTTAGCGAAGTCGATGACGCGCGGCACAGCGGTGCACTTGCACTAGCGACTTGCGCTGCATACATAGCGCCCGTGAGCAGATCCGCTGGTTCACCCCATGAAATCATTCTCATAACCTCTATACTCCACACTTACAAGCACACACTGACTACTAAGAGATGCAGGGGCGTAGCACCCGCTACGACTGGTACGACCATGGCCGTACCACTTTTCGAAAAGTGTGGTCCGTCCGGAACGTGCAAAACCGTAATAAAAAAATCAGGATCCATCCGGATGCGTGTGCGTATCAGACTTTGACCTTTTTCTAGACTCGTACTCGTAGATCTACTCGTAGATCTGCCATGCATCTGTGCATGTCCATGCACGTCTCTTCTGACCGTGAACTATGACTTTATAAACTGTGCCAGAAGTGTGCCAGAAGTTCACAGAACGCAGGATTTTGTGTCTTTTTTACAAAATTTTCCCGCGGGGAGGTCCCCCGGACCCCCCTCCAAAACGGCGTTCGGCCGCGCCGACCTTCGGTCGTACCACTTCCAAAACCCCTCCTACGCCCCTGAGATGTGATAAAATTGTAGAAATGTACTCGAGGACCACAGCTAGACTATGTGTGATGTGTCTGTGTGTCTTGTGTGTGTGTGTGTGTGTGTATAACTCTGCTCTCCTGCAGGTTCTACGTGTACACGTACTGCCGCTGACTAACGTTGCACTCAACAAGACTGGATCACAGTAAGTTCTGCCGCACTCAGGCCTCAGTTCCTGACTGACTGGTGGTGTGAAGTATCATAACTGATGATGGCATCACCATGATCGGTATTCATTGCTCATGATATCCCGACTGGTTGTGATACTAACTGTTAGGATGCTTGACATGACAACGTTTACATGTGTATGAGGGGGTGGCCTTTTCGTGGGTCTGTGGCTAAAATATTTGACCATGCACACTTCGAGTGACATAATGCATGCTGAAAGATGATGTCATCACACTGACAGATGTGGTACTGCAGTGAGGCGGTGGAGGTTTCCGGTATCGGGGTTGTGTTGCATTATTGCTCTCTATGTTCCTCCCCCCCCCCCCCACTCTCTCTCTCTCCTCCCCCCCCCCCCCCCACTCTCTCTCTCTCCCTCACTCACTCTATCTCTCTCTCTCTCTCTCTCTCTCTCTCTCTCTCTCTCTCTCTCTCTCTCTCTCTCTCTCTCTCTCTCTCTCTCTCTCTTTCTCTTTCTCTCTCTCTCTCTCTCTCTCTCTCTCTCTCTCTCTCTCTCTCTCTCTCTCTCTCTCTCTCTCTCTCTCTCTCTCTCTCTCTCTCTCTCTCTCTCTCTCTCTCTCTCCTCTCCCTAACAGATTCATCACAGGTAGCTACGATAGGACATGTAAACTTTGGGATGCCGATACTGGCAGTCTGCTGCGGACGCTGGAAGGTCATCGCAACGTCGTCTATTCAATTGCGTTTAACAATCCGTACGGGTAAGAGAGACGTCCCATGGCCAGTATGCTGAGCAAACTCTGTGTCGTCTCTGGTGGCATTTGAAACTCTTGTGCAAGTACACCTGTACATCTATCCCAAGTACTAGTATTAGCTGAAAAAAAGTAAATTATCGTGTCCGTTCCCGAAGGGAACTCACGACGGCCGCTAACACCCGGTAAACCCTAGCGGCAGATGCAGCGCCTAACGGCTGAAAGCAGCCCTCCATATCACTAAGGGGAAGGCGGGGGGGGGGGGGCTTTCAGTGTCAAAACACTCTCCTACAACTTTTTGAATTTTTGACCATGGACGATGTGCGCAAATCCCGATTTGGCAAAGACTCTGCAGAGTACGTATGCTCCTTGAAGATTATTTTGCATGGAACGCTAGCTACAAGCTCTCCTGGAATAATGAACGGGCATTTCAACGTCGCTGGTTAGAAGCCTACCAAACTTGGTTGGTCTTGAGTCATCGGCGGCATCCAATTCTGTTTGCCATGTGTTCTTTCGCCCATACTTATTATGAGTAGTGCATTTATGAGTTAATTTCCAGGATCTCTTGCTGGCACCCACCCACCCACCAATTTCTGTAAAGCTTTTTTTTTAAATTGCTCAACGCCCATATGACGAAACAGTTTCTTAGAGACGCCGTAGTAATAACATATGGATTCTTGTATGCTTGTATGTACGGATTCTTGGGTGGATTCTTCTTGTATGGATTTTTGTATGCTTGTCTCCCAAGGGGAGACCCACGTGACCAGTTATGGCAGTGAGCAAGTACAAGTGTGTATGTGTACATGTGGGTGTGTGTGGGTGTGTGTGTCTGTGTGTGTGCGTGCGTGCGTGCGTGTGTGTATCACAGAGATAAGATTGCAACGGGATCGTTTGACAGGACTTGCAGAGTAGGTTGTTTGTTTCCAGAAATATGTCGTGTGTCCTGACATATGGGCTCTGGTCTGGATTCCTGTCTGCACTATCCCTGTAGTTTTTTGGCATTGAATGATCCCTATCTCCCCCCCCCCCCTCCTACACATACACACACATCACACAGAAAGGAAAAATGGTCACCCCTGTCCCACATGCGCAAGCATAGCACTAGCTAGGGAAAAAAAACCATGGTCCCCGCCCTCCCCCCCCCCCCCCCTCCACTGTTCCCTTCCAACACCCATGACAATGATACACAACATGTGACTTGGGAGATATGTGACCGTTACATGATATCCCTGATCCAGCCACACACACAGCACATACATGCTCAGGCTGGGGAGGGCATACATCATGTGACCCACAAAAAGGAGAACACTGGAGTGATGTAGCTGATGGGTGTTCACTCCTAACACTTTCTCAGGGCAGGTCCAACCCCTGTATACTCTACTTTAACATCTTTGGGATACGCGTCCCAGGCTAATGAGGCTATACTAGGATTTGAGCCTCAACATATTCACTTTACTATGCATTGAAGGTGTATTTCTGTGCCGGGCACTGTGCAATTGTCAGGCAACCTTCATCCCGATTGTATTTAGTCTGTCTCTCTTGTCTGCTACACACATACTCTCTCTCTCTCTCTGCCTACAGTCATGACTGATACTAGAATAAAATGTAGTTTCAGTTGTTGTGTCAATCTGTACAAGCAGTGTGGAACTGTCCCAGCTTGTCTCCCTGTGTATGTGTGTGTATGTACATGGTGTGTGTGTGTGCGTGCGTGTGTTCTGTACAACACAGTTATGGAATAGCGATACTGGTGAGCTACTGTCTACAATGGAAGGGCACACAGCAGAAGTGGTAAGACTATGGCCCATACTGGATGTGTACTGCTATGCTCTGACTAAAAGATGTTAAAAATGATTACGCATCTTACCATACTTCGACGTACATGATAGCCAAGTGCAGGTCTACCCTGGTTAGTACGACATCGATTGCAAGACAAACCTCATTAGTAGACAACGATCCAAAATCCCATGATGCTTTTAGAGACGCATTTAACAGTCGCACATGCAAGTCAGTAGATAATACTCGTTTTACGCGGCAGCACATTTGAAACCCCTGGGGTGGTCTACAAGTGAGGGTGAACCTGCGTCGCTTTCACAACATCGGCCCGCAGACTAGCACACAACTCACTGCAGAACTGTGTGTGTACGGTATGCATGACTGTGTGTTGCAGGTGTGTGTTGCATTCGACCCGCTCAGCACTATCCTGGGAACAGCGTCGATGGATGCCACTGCCAAGATCTACGACATTGCCACTTCTCAAGAGCTGGTTTGTTTTGAGGTCAGTGTCTATGTCCGTGCAATACTCAATCTGCGGACAGAACTGTTTTGTCCTTTGTGGACTCATAAGCGCAGCACAGAGAAAATGAGGCTGAACCTGATAGCAATGAAAAATAAATTTTCCAACGCCAGATTTAAACCAGGCCGTGCAATATCAATTTTCTCAGATGAGTATCAGCGCATCCAAGTACTTTCTCACGTTCACTACACTGTAACTGAACGGTGTTCATAGCTGGTAGGATTGGGCATGAACCCATGCCTTTTTGTGTGTGTGTTTTTGCTGGCTTTTTGGGCATCACGCGTATGGCAATATGCTAGAATGGAAATATCAGCTTTTGCTTTTCAAGGCGTTTCGGGCACGTACTGGCTTACATGTGACTTTGACTAATGGCATCAACATTTGGTAGTCATTGGCGTAACAGGACCTAAAGTACGACTTGAACGCGTGCTTGCCGTGGGCACGCATGAACTGCATGCATACTGTGCCCCCCCCCCCCCCCCCCCCGGTATGAGCACAGCCTAAGCATCATGGTCATAGTGGATTGGTCTAATACCATGATTAAACAAATGAAAGACGTACCTGGTTCAAGTCATTCCTAGGAGTGGCTTTTCCAGCCATGCAACCACCCACACTCAACTGCGAACGCGGGCCAGGCAAAAAGGGTACTAAAGTACATGGATGCGGGTATGGGGATTTCGGCACGTATGCCAGTGGTTGCGAGACTTATCCCTTCACCGCACCATTCGATGCTGCACCTGCCCCTGAGGTATTCCGGGTGTTATCCGCCGTTATCAGTTTCCCTGGGAATGAAGACGAAGTATATTTTCTATTTTCAAGCCTGGTCACAGCATGTTCTGAGCATCAGAACAAATCATTGCTAGGCATACGTCCAGTGGAATACTGTAGTACAGTAGGATGTGAATCTATTGCAAAGTACAATCAACTTCGCTTATAACGACACTCGGCGACGCATCAAAAAGGTGTCGTTATACCCGAAGTCTCATTATATGTATTACAATGGGATGGGACTTTGGTCTGGGCATGGAAATTCTAAGAGTTGGTGGACAAGCCGTTGATTATTCACTCTCATTGTAATATCAAAAAGTATTCTTTCTAGACCAAAGAGTGGTATATTTGATAACATTTAATAACGATAGAAATTTTTACGATACTTCTCCAGACGTTTCGTTGTTCTGAACAACATCGTCAGTGGATAAAGAATGGAGGGCTTTGGGTGGTGGCAAGGGTTAATAGGGAGTGATGGTGGTGAGATGAGGTGAGGTGAGAAGGTGAAGGTGGGAAATACATGTATCTAAGTTAATGGTGAAGGTTAGGTGCGGGTCGATACAGGTGGGAAGGGGTACACCCTTCGGGTAGAAGTGTAGGTTGGTAGAAGGTGTTGGTGTGCGTAGAAGGTGGAGTGGCGTAATGGAAGTGTTGGGTTGATAAATGTGGGAGAGAGTCTAGGTAGGGTGTGGATCAGCAATAGGTGTTGGTGTATGTGGTGGGTAGAATTGGCAAGAGGTGTGTGTGTGTGTGTGTGTGTGTGTGTGTGTGTGTGCGTGCGAAAAAGAGTAAGGTAGTGAGTATTGGTATGCGTGGAAGGAAGATGTGACAGAAGGTGTGCGCTATAGGCAAGGGGTGCAGGAATATTCTGAGGTGGGGGGTGGGACTAAAACAGGACGTTGTGATTCATCTAGTGATATATATAATATCAGCAATAGCAGCAGTATATACAAAGAGGTGTGTGTGTGTGTGTGTGTGTATGCGTGTGCGTTTGCAAGCTTTTTGGTAGTGTAGTGTGTTGGGGGGGGGGGGGAGAGAGAGCACCGGGTGCGGGTGTTCTTCTTCTATTGCGATCATTTTTGGATGGGTTGGCAGATAGTGGATGGTGGAAGGCAAGTTATGCCAAGAATCCAGTTCCCATATCTTCTTTTCTTCTGTTGATAGTTGGTTTCTTGTCGCGAATGGCATATGCTTCACGGATCCGGAGCCTCAGCTCATCCCTCTCCGTGAGCTGAGCAATCTCGTACATAATCTCTGGGGTGGCGTTCGGGTGTTCCCTAGCGTAGTGCACACCGAATGCAGACTTCTTGTCATGAGATTTTGCAGCGTTTGTGTGCTCTTGGGCCCGGGTGTGCACTTGCCTCCCAGTAGAGCCGACGTATCTCTCGTGACAAAGGTGGCATGTAGCTTCGTACACGGCAAATCTGCAGGTGCATTTCTTCCTGAACATAGGGCATTCGCGCATTCTGCATTTTTCCGGTTCTCCTTTTTTCTTCGTGAGTTCTTGGATGGTTGGGGGTCGAGGGTTAACGAGGCGTGCCGTTATGCCGTTTTTCTTAAGTGCCTGTCGTACTTGGCCGTTAACCTTGTCGGAGATGTACGGTATTCTAAATACCAGTTGTTTCCCTTTTGTTTGTTTACTTGTGTTTCTTCTTCGGGCTCGCGCTTTGATGATGTGTTCTGCAGAATAGCCGTTCCCTGCAAGTTTATCTGAGATGAAGCGTCTGGCTTCCTCCGCAAACTCAGGCGTGCTGTTGTCTTGTGCTCGTTTGTATTCATTGTTAATGACCGCCATCTTAACCGCCGTTGGATGGTGGGAATCTGCGTGTAGTGTTATCCCTTTGTTTGCTTCTTTTACGTAGAGCTTGTGTGTGACTTTGCCGTTAGGAAGAATCTTTAGTCTGATATCCAGGATTGGTAGGAAACCATCTTTGTCCGGCAACTCCAGTTCAAACTTGATTGTCGGGTGTTTTCCGTTGAGTTTGGTCAGTAGAGATTGTGCTTCCGCAGGAGTGTCAACTGCGGTTCCCGAGTCGTCTACATAGCGAACGAACACTGGCAATGGCGGCGAGATGTTTCTGTAAATGTGGCGCTGTTCAAAGCGGTCCATGACGATGATAGCTATTGTGCCGCTGAGTCTGCTGCCCATCGCCAATCCCCTTGTCTGTTTGAATGTTCCAAGGGTTGGGTGTTGGAACACGTTGTTATATAGAATCAGTCCGAGTAGCTCTTTTAGGTCGACCGGTGTGAGGGAGTAGGTATTGATTTTGAAGCGGTTCGCGTATTCGAGGACGGTGCTGATTCCTTCTTCAATGCCAATGTTTGTGTACAGCGAGATCACGTCGAATGAGATGGGGATTTTCTTCTTCAGTTTGTTTTCGTTGCTCGTAAATTGGGCTATTAGGTCCCGCGTGCTGCTGATGTGGGCGCTCACGTTAAGCAGCAATGGCTTGAAGATGAAATGGAGGATCCAACCGAGTCTTTCGAAAATGCCGCCTGATCCCGAGACGATTGGGCGAATCTTGAGAGATTTCTTGTGTGTTTTCGGCAGTGCGTAGAACCGTTGCGTTCTTGCGCAGGGTGGCGTATTGAGTCGTCTGATGATGATCTTGGGGAAATCTCTGCTTCTGAGAATTTTCTCTAGAGCTTTGTTGATGGTGAGGCGCAGTGTCGGTGTTGGATCTTTCTGAAGCTTGCAATATGTTGTTGAGTCGGCGAGGTGCTCCCTGCACAGTTCCTGCATGTCCTCCGCCTTCATGATCACCATCTCGCCTCCTTTATCACTTCGAGTGACCACGATGTCCTCACGTTCTCGTAGTTCTTTAAGCGCATGCCGGTCTGCGTGGGAGATGTTGGGTTTAGGATTCTGCCATTTCCCCGCCGTTCTCATAATGCGCTCCATGTCCGTGATGAAACCTTTGATGGATCGCTCGGCTGGGTCTATGTCCCGTGGCGGTGCTTTTCTCCTGATCTTGAACGGACATTCTGATTTGATAGGGTCGAAGGTTCCACCAATACCGGTTCCGGTTCTCTCCCCAGCGGCTTTCCATCGAATGCCGTATGCGAGTACAGCGATCTCCGTCTGTAACTTCTGTTGCAGTCCTTTCTTGGTGAATTTCGGTGTGATGGCGAATTTTGGGCCTTTTGCTAGAAGCGACACTGCCTGTTCGGATACACTGATATCTCCCAGTATACTGACTCTCTGTGTTAGGTTCCTGTGTCTCTCAGTGACGTTGTCTGGCATCGAGGTCTGAGGGCTGTTCGGCACGCAGCCGGGTCCCAGTAGTAGTGTACCGTCTGGTTGTTCTCGGGATTCTGTTAGTCTCTTGAATTTCTGCTTCAAGGATGATTTCCATTTTGTCTTGCTGGCATAGCTGCGTTGACCAGATCATTTAGTCGCTGGTATTGGTCGCTTTTCCGGTGCATGGATGCCTGCAGCTTGTTGGCCTTTGATTTCGAGGCGTGGATGGCATGGTATTCCGCGCGTATGAGTTGTCCGAGTATTCGTTTTTCGGTTTCGCGTTGATATCGTTGTGTATAAGCCAGGTTCTTGATGGCTGTTGGGAAGCGGATTGGGTTGTGTAACGCGGGTGGACATATACCAGCGTTTCTGCAGCGCCGAAGAAAGATCACATTCTGCTCCCGATGCTTGAGTCTCTCCACATTTGCCATCCATTCTGTTGCTTGTCCGCGAGTTGATCGGTCCAGTCCAAAGTCAAAGAGTTGGTGGACAAGCCGTTGATTATTCACTCTCATTGTAATATCAAAAAGTATTCTTTCTAGACCAAAGAGTGGTATATTTGATAACATTTAATAACGATAGAAATTTTTACGATACTTCTCCAGACGTTTCGTTGTTCTGAACAACATCGTCAGTGGATAAAGAATGGAGGGCTTTGGGTGGTGGCAAGGGTTAATAGGGAGTGATGGTGGTGAGATGAGGAATATTCCTGCACCCCTTGCCTATAGCGCACACCTTCTGTCACATCTTCCTTCCACGCATACCAATACTCACTACCTTACTCTTTTTCGCACACACACACACACACACACACACACACACACACACACACACACACACACGCACACACACACAAACACACACACACACACACACACACACATGTGCATCTGTAATCACAATGCACACACAGTCAACTTCGCTAATAACGACTGCGGATATAACGACAATTCGCGAATAGCGACAGAATTTC